CAAAGAGGAAGCCAAATGAAGACTTATAAAGCACTTTTTTTTTTTAAAGATTTTATTTATTTGACAGAGAGAGATCACAAGTGGGCAGAGAGGCAAGCAGAGAGAGAGAGAGAGAGAGGAGGAAGCAGGCTCCCTGCGGAGCAGAGAGCCCGATGTGGGACTCGATTCCAGGACCCTGAGTTCATGACCTGAGCTGAAAGCAGAGGCTTAACCCACTGAGCCACCCAGGTGCCCCTTATAAAGCACTTTTAATCAGACATTACAGAATTTGTGGGATGTACCCAAAGTTTATGGGGAAATTCACAACGTTAAACACTTGTATTAGGAAATGAGAAATGTCTTGAATCAATGCCCCAAACTTTCACCTTAAGAAACTAGAAAAAATTGAGGCAGTGTTGCTTGTATTCTGGTTTTTTGTTTGTTTGTTTGTTTGTTTTTAAATACCTAGAGGTTAACATCACAGCCTGGCTACTAGCTGTAGTACTGGTTACTACATTTTCCCCTTTCTCAGGATCAACTCATGCTTGCTGCCACTTTTCTTTTGCTGTGAAATGAGTTCTTTGATCAGCAGCAATTTTGTGTGAAGGAGTGAAGGCTGTGGGAGGCAAATTCACATCGGGAGTATGTGTTCATACATACCCTCCAGGCAGTTGCCATTTTTTTTTTTTTTAACCAGCTTTCTTGAGATATATTTTGTATACCATAAAGTTCACCTGCTGAAATGTGACTGGCTTTTTTCACTAACACCATAGTTTTGAGCTTTATCTGAGTCATGGCGTGTATCAGCACTTCATTCTTTTTACGACTAATACTCTGCTGTATGGATATACATTTGTGTATGCGTTATTCTTCAGTTGATGGATCCTTGGGTTGTTTCCACTTTTTGACTGTTAAAAATAATTCTGCTATGAACAAGTTTTTGTAATGGGCACACGTTTTCCTTCTTCTTCGGCGTCTCTAACCAGGAGAACTGCTGAGTCACGTGGTAACTCTGTTTTAAAAATTTAAGATCTTCCAAACTGTTTTCCAAAGTGGCTGCAATCATTTTGCATTCCCGTCAGCAGTGTAAGAGGGTTCCAATTTCTCCACCTCTTCACTGATACCTATCATTGTCTTTAAAAAAAAAAAAAGATTTTATTTATTTGACACGGAGAGAGAGATGAGAGAGAGAGAAAGAGAGAGAGAGTGCGCACAAGCAGGGGGCACGGCAGGCAGAGGGAGAAACAGCTTTCCCACTAGGCAGGGAGCCCAACATGGGCCTTGATCCCAGGACCCTGTGCCGAAGGCAGACCCTTAACTGAGCGAGCCACTCAGGAGCGCTGATTGACTTTTGATTATAGTCATCCTAGTGGGTATGAAGGGGTGGGTCATTTCTTGTGTTCTTGTGTAATGTGGGCAACTTCATGATACTATGTGAATAAATTCCCCTATTTTTCTCCTCTGAGCCATTTGCAAGTCCTATTTTGTGCTCTATTCAATGTTCTGTGGCCTGACAGCCAGAGGGAAGGCAACTGAACTACCTTTGCTAGAATACCTAGTCTCTGGTCTCTTGACCAAGATTTTCTACTTGTTTCTCTTCTCATCAGGAAGTGCACTGCATGACCCATGGAAGTCATCTTGGGCTTTGGAGCCTTTCTCTGGTTCAGTGTGGGACCCCCCCAGTCCTGGCTGCTCAGAAGCCCTCTCCCGTCTGTTCCCAGCAGCCCTTTCCGCTCCCCTCTGCAGTAACCAGGGAAGGACAAGGATAGTCCCCTTCCCCAAATCGATCTGTTTCTCTTGCCAGTCAATTGCTGGATTTTGAGGACTTACCAGGACGATTTGCAGGAGTAGCCTGGCAGACTTGAGCCACATTTTTTTTTTTTTCTTCTCTGACCATTTTTTGACATTTTTGACATTTGGTTGTCTTTTTCCTTGTTGCTGATGGGTTATGTTTGTTTTTTGCAGGAAGGAAGTGCCAGTTTTCACTTGCTCGTGTTTGTGTCATCAGGCATTTTTTGAAAGGGAGCTGTTGTAAGTCAGCTGCACTCCACCACTTTGTCCAGACATTCCTAGCAGTACTTTTAGGGATTTGTCTTACTCCCGGAGATCCTCCATTATTCACTCTTTGAACAGTCACTGTGCACCTACTGTGTGCCAGGTGGGGACCACAAAGGGGGCTCTAGCACAGAACCAGAGCCCTGCCCCATAGAGCCTCTTACTTAGTAAATTATGTCCAAGTGTCTCAATCAAAGCTTCCTTATTTTGCATAAAAATGTGTTTGTAGAAGATAATGTCAACACTCCAAATCGAGATATTTATACCAAATTCATCTAGGTCACAAAATTAACTTAACACAAAATCAACCCCCTAACATTCTGTGACCCTTCCAGGAGACACAGCATGGACAGAAAGGAAGCTTCAGAGCAGAAAGGGAAGGAACCTGCCTTCGTTTTTAAGGTCCTGATGCTGTATTTGAGAAGCTGCATCAGATATAGCTCATTTTCCACTCTTTGCTTACGGGAGGAGTTAAAATCATTTGCAAATTCCTTAGCTGATGATATGCCAAAAATAAATGCAATTCTGGCAGAAAGTATTAAAGACTGTGGCAAAGAGAAGACAGTTTAAGATCTTGAAATATTAAGATGCTTTTTTTTTAAATCCCTTTTTATAAGCACCATAAACCAGAGCTGTTCCTCAGCAATTTGCAGAAACCAGATTAACATGGTGCTACAGCCAATATTTACTCAAAGCCCAACTGCTGCGCACTGCCTCCCAGCAGCCACCTCGGCTGCACTCCCTGGAGGAGCTCAAGTCCTGCGGTACCTCTGAGGCACCCACGGCATTAACTCAGCCAGCAAATATATGTGAGCCTCAGTGTGCAAGACGCTGTGCTCTGGACAATGAGGGAGACAGAAATAAAGAACACAGCACCTGCCCAGGCGGAATTACGAAGGCGAGTGGTAGAGCTCTGCCAAAGCAAGGGAGAGATTCTTGGGATGAAGTAGTGACATAAAGCATGCCGCAGTGATAAAATTCTGAATTTCCAGAAAACCGTCAATAGAGGGCGATGACTGATACAGTCCTACCTGTTCGGGATTTTAACAGTCCCTAGTCTGAGCTCACAGCACACAAGCCCAGAGCCTGAAGGTCAGACCCAACAATGACCTTTTTGTCGCCAGCAGAGGTCCATGGAATTTTCTAGAGATCACACCTACCCTCTCTGGTGCCCTTGGAAAGTCTAGTTTTTTTTTCATTTGTTTTTTTGTTTTTTGTTTGGTTTTTAGGGGCCATGTATGAACTTATCATTCACAAATCTGTTTAGACTGCATTTGGAAATCTCTTCCTTTTCTTGCTAGTTCTCTGTCACAGAGGTCATCAGCTCCACCAAAGCCTGGATAGCAAGCATCCCTGATTTGCTTATAGTTTCTAGGTGCCCAAGACCATCCCCTTCTAAAAGTTTATCAGCATTTGAGAGCAATTTCATTTCTGTGTCTCCTTTCATGGATTCTGAACCTTTCAAACACTGGAACTTCATGACCGAGCTCAGGCCCCAAAGCCGTAAAGATGCTCAACCGGCAAAGCAGCCGCTACCCGCCTCCTGGCGAGCACTGAGCGCAGCCGCTGACTCCCACCGCTGCCCTGGCTCCTCGGGCCAGCTCAACAGGGCAACGTCCGCGAGCCTCTTCTGTGTAGAGCGAACTACGGAGGAGATTCAGGGGGAAATTCCTACATAGCTAGCAAGGGAGCTGCTTCCTTGTCGGAACAGAAGCCTGCTGAAGAAGGAGCAACTCAGCCCAGAGTCTCGTGTACCCATGACGGATGAGAAAGTGTGTCTGCCCTGGAAAAGAAAGGTCCTTGCAAACTAGGCTGCTCCCATCTGAAGCACTGCCCACACTCTGTGCCCCTGCTCGCGTTCCTAGGAAAGAACCAGTTACCCTCAACATAGTGGAAATGTACCACCTAGTGGCCAGGGCTGGAACTGTCACTCAACTAGCCAGAGAAAACCCCTCCTCAGAAGAGATTCTGAGCTTTGAAAGAAGCCTTCCTAAGGGGCAGGTTACCACACCAAAGCGGTTCAGTTCCCCTGTAGTTTATAGGTAAACTGTAATTAATAATCTTGTGAAGAAAAGATGCCTTTTTTCCCGATGAGATTTACAAAAATATGCTAAAAAATATGTCATAGCTTCTGGATCTGATAGGCTGGTTAAGCCTTCTACTTATTAACACAGATATTTAAAAGTAATACTCAGATACTCTAATTTGAAAGGAAAACGCTAAGAATTTTTCAGTGTTTCAAAGGAAACCTTAAATAAAATGCATTTGAAATAACTGTCTTTCTTTCCATGAAAGGATCTGCAACAAATTTATAAAGACTCAAAATATTTTTCACACTGAAACACACTGTTCAACACTTCCACTGTGTGTCAATGAGCCAGTCAACTGCGTTGAATCTGTTAAATGGAGTAAGGCTCTGAAAAATAAAACATTTTACCTCAGAGCTGTTACAATTACTTGATTCCGTCTTAATACAGAACACAGATCTATACATACTTCTTAAAGGAACCTGTAGTTTTATTAACTTTCCAGTACTCTTGCAAATACGTTACTAACAAAATTCAAACCAGAGCAATTACACACAAAAGTTTTGCAGTTTACTTCAAGCATCATATATAAAGACCAGGCCAGAGATGGTGCACTCCAAAACTTACAGAAGGAAGTCAGGTAGAGAACTTTATTTAGCTGAAGAATAAAAACACATTCCACTTTCTGCAATCGTGACTGAAAATCTTTTCAAGGCTGGAGATCCAAGTGACATACCGACTTAATCTAACACTGAAGTCATAGGACTTAAGCAGATTTTCAATCACTGCAGCTTTGTTCTAGTTTAAGTAAGTTCATATTTTTTACACCTGATCTTAGCCAAAAGGCCGAGAAGGATGAGTAAGTTTCAATTTTTCACAGAAAAAAATAAATTTCAGGCAAATAAAAACAAATTCCAGACAAGCATGTTTTTTTTTTTTGTTTTTTTGTTTTTGTTTTGTTTTGTTTTGTTTTATTTTACCTTCATCAAGGCAGGCAAAGTACAGATGCTGTACATTAAAAACATACAAATACATTAGTCACAGCACATCAACTCCTACCGGCAAAGAGACTTCAAAGCACTGCTCCTCTCTGAAGCACATAACCACGGCTAAATGTACAAAGAGCCATCTGCTGGTCCCACGTAGCCAACACCAATCAGCAAGACATCTATCAGCGTCCATATGCCCAGGCCGCCGAAGCTGAAGAGCTTGCCAAGGCCTTCCCGCCACTGGCCCAGGTAGAAACGGTCAGCTCCAAACCCACCGAGGGTGATGCTGCAAGAGCAAAGGGTTATGGGAGGGGAGTCCATCAGCCACCTGCCGGCCGCAGCCAGCTGTGGCTCGATACCAGCACGAAGTCATGCATGTGAAAGGGCCTCAAATGATCACAACCCTTCATGAGGGCACAAACGTCTACTTCCCAAATTCACAACACCAAATAATCATGGGCAAGAAGACTGTCTAAATGTCAAAGGTAAACATAAAATTTTTCGCCGTACTGAAATCTAATGTTTCTCTTTTAGAGAAAAGTAATCCATCCCTCTCATTGCTTTCCAGTCTTGAAAATGGCACATGCAGGGGAACAAAGCGGGAAGCCAGTTCAACAGGCAGGACACAAACATGGAGTCCGGAGGTGGGGTCGCGAGGAAGCCCACCACCACGGGCGGCCCCAGATCAAGTCATCTGAACTCTGTCAGTCATCTCCAAAAATGGGACTCTTAAGGTTCCTTCAACTTCTAAGATCTAACAATATTCGGACGACTTCCCATTGTACTTCTTTCAAGCTTCTTATATGGAACATTTCCAAACATATAAAACTAAGAGGTGAAGAGAACGGTAGCCCCAACCCGGCTCCACCACTGATCAGCATGTGGCCAGCCCTGCTGTGTCTCTAAGCACCCCCGCCCCTGTGCCAGAGTACTTTGAAGCAAACCCTGGCCATTATCCCATTCAGTGAATGTTCTGAAAGAAACTGTGTTGAGCTCTGAAAAGAAAACAGTTCTTATTTTTTCAAAAGTCAAGTTGTGAAATGTACCTCGGTAACGTGAGATGTGAAGAGTCGAGGGGGAGATGGGTGACAGCTGTATAGGAATGATCTAACTTTTCTGTAAGTCTCAGGTTATTCCAAAATAAAAAGATTATTTAAAAAAAAGTAAGAAGTCCGTTGTTCATTTTCATTTTAACAACTGCTGACAAAGACGATGGCTAGTTATCAAATCTCATTTTTGGTTTATCAAATTTTCTTCCTTGGACTATTCTTTTACTCTCCAATTGGGCCTTCCCGCCAGGCAGGCTCTGCCCCTCCCCAGCCCAAACCCTAAAGCAGCGCTGTTCAACAAGGGGCACCTTGGGAGTCTCTGAAGACATTTTCGATTATCACCCCGTGGAGTGCCAGAGGTACTTAGCCAGTAGAGTCCAGAGATGCTGCTAACTGCCCTACTGGCCCCACAGCAGAGAATTATTTGGACTGGATGTCATTAGTGATGAAGGTGAGAAACCCTTCGAGTGTCACACTACAGCCCACAGGGTCTCGGGCTCTAGCACCAAATCTTCAACTGTAGATGCCCTGACTTTTTAATTAGTGAATAACCAGCATCACAACCTGCCCTTCCCTCTGGGGGTAAGAATTGGTAGTTTTTCCCCCCAAACTGCTATAAAGTTTAACAAATTCAAGTACATTTTTATGTTAAAATTCTAAGGTCACAGTTATCTCTGGATGGTGAAATTAGAGGTGATTTTTCATGTTTTATTTTATCTCAAATTTTCCAGTTTTTAGGATGGAGCATATGTTAGTTTTTATAATAAAGGATGAAGTTACTAAAAATTAAAACTACAAATCATAAACCCACCTATTTTAAATAGTATATACCATGTTACTGACTCACAGTACACCCAGGATGGGAAACCCTGACTGGTTCTAATCTGTAATAATGACTCCAATGGGCATCTCTAGAATGTGCAGACATCTTGGGAGAAAAGCAAACATCCTGCCATTAATGTCCATGAAGGTACTGGTCTGATCATCTAAATGACTTCCTGCAGTCATGTTTCCTAGGGCCTCCCTCACACAATGAAAGAATCTAAGCTTTCTAAGTTTCTCTAAGGAGAGACTCGGCTGAGCTCAACATCTGGAAGATTCCACTGATCCCACAAAACCCAAACAGCATCCTTAACTTGCTTGTAGCCAAGCTCACCTCAGAGCCAGAGCAGTAGACCACTTATAACCTCCAGTCCAGTTGCAGTACAGCATCTTTGGAAAGGTACGGTTACCTTAAAAAAAGGGAAAACACTCAGTATAAAAATATCCTTACAAAGAGACTAGTGGCCTTGTAATTTAAAATCTAAAAGTTAACTCTCTCTACAGTAAGTAAAGTTTGCTACAGTGAATGGTAAAAAGTTAGTCCTTACCATCGATAAGCATACACTTAATGGCTTAAGTCAGTTAAGTAAGGGTTACAGCTCTAAGTATGTGAAGCTATCAGGACTTAGGTGAAGTTTAGGGTAAACAAAACAGTGTGGTCGTATTTATCAAACAGATAAATCAAGCAAAGGGGAAAGGAGACAGAGCTCAGCCCAGGCACACAGAAACACTTCTTGTGGGACACAGGGCACACAAAGATTGGAGACAACTGGCTATCCCTGTGGGGAAAAAAGGAGACCTGAGTCTACTTCACAACATACACCGAAAGCAATTACACGTGGATTACAGGCCTCTCTGTGAAAGAGCAAACTTCCAACTTTTAAAAGAAAGTATAGGAAATAAAAAGGCTATGGTTTTAAAAAAAAAAAAAAAAAAAAAGTCAAGCTCTATCCAAAAGATACCCCAAAAAAGTGGGGGAGGGGAGTTATTTAAAATCTGGGAAAGAATTTTAGGCACACTAAAAGGTTATTATCCAAAATATAAAAGAATTCCCAGAAATCTTTAAGAAAAAGACAATATTTTTGAATAGTAAGTATTGGAGAGCATGTGCATCAAGAACAGTTATGCACCAACGGTGGCAAGGGAACTGTTCAAGCATTTTGGAAAATAATACATGCTAGAGAGTATATCGCTAGACATGCGCCCGTACACGTACAAGCAGGAGGTATGTACAAAAACTCTAAGAGCACCACAGCCTGGGAGAGCAAAAAACTGTAAATAACCCAAATACATAGAAGAAAGAAACTATGATAGAATCTTACAACGGATTATTATACAGAAGCAAAAAACAATAAGTAAAGAAGACACATGGATCATCTTAGAGCCATAAAGTTGAGAGGAAAAGAGAAAGGACAGACCATAAACAGACTACTATTTTACAGAAGTCTAAAACACGCCCTACTGACTAATGTCTCACGTTATTATTTACATGTGCTAGAACTACACAAAATGTAAAGAAAAGCAAATGATCAGAAAGTTCATCCACAGGTGGTCCCCTCTCGAGAGCAGACGGGGCAAGCCGGGGCAGGAGAGCACTCAGCTGTGGTGCCAGCACACCGCTCTCGTCGGCTGTTTGGGGAAAACGTTACTTACGACATGTCACGCTTCACACCTTACACACTCTTTCTTCCGTTAGCAAATACTACATTTTAAAAGATACGAGAATGGCATATTTCCTGGATTTTTTTTTAGTTCATTGAGTTTATTTTTTATCTTTCAGTGGACACACCATGTTCAGTGGACACTCCTGTGTCAGGTGTACAACACAGGAAGCAATTCAACAACTCTGTTACGCCACACCGGCCACAAGTGTAGCTACCATCTGTCACCATTGAGTTTATTAACGAGGCCTGCTGTAACCAGAAAGTGCCAATAAATGTTTCTGATTTAAACAGTTTAAATTTGGGGCGCCTGGGTGGCTCAGTCACTTAAGCGTCTGACTCTTGGTTTCGGCTCAGGTCGTAATGTCATGGTGCTGGGAATGAGCCTCACATCGGGTCTGCGCTTAGTGCAGAATCTGCTTCAGATTCTTTCTCTTTCCTCACTCACGCTACCCCTCTCTCAAATAAATAAAAATCTTAAAAATAAATAAATAGGGGCACCTGGGTGGCTCATTCACTTAAGCGTCTGCCTTTAGCTCAGTCACAATCCCATAGTCCTGGGATCGAGCCCCACACTGGAAGCCTGCTTTTCCCTCACCCCCTCACTCTGCTCATGCTCAATCTCTCTCTCTCAAATAAAAAAATAAAATCTAAAAAAAAAAAAAATTTAAATTTCATTCTCAAACTGCTAATTAAAGTTCCATACATAAGCTTAAAGAAAAGTATTTTGCTCATGAATCTCCTTGAACTCCAACTCACCCAGGCAATGAACGTGGTCCCGCACGGTGCAGTTGGCCATGTACCGCTGCCGGGGACAGGACACCGTCATGCAGCTGGTGGAATTGGAACACTCGTAATCGGTTTCTGGAAGCTGCCAGCAAAACCTGCAAGTCATGTTGATGATGAAGTTCCTTTGGGATTTGAAGTCTTGATCCTGTATGCCCAAGGACAGAGAGTGAATCAATCATAACAGTTCATGAATATGTCAATAATAATACAAGGCACAAAGATCCTAAAAGACTTGTGAATAATACCAGCAGAAGGTGGGAGGAAAATAGGTACCAAACCAGTATGTATGCAAAACAAACGTATAAGGTAGGATCCTATCATCATAAAAACACACGCCCCAAAATATATATGCCTAAGGGAAAAAAATCTACATAAATTTACATCAAAGTAACAAAGGTTATTCCAGGATGGTAAGCGTATTTTACCACTTTCACTTGGCTAAATTTTTCATAATGAGCACGGGTACAAAAAGAAGTTAAGGGAAAATGTATTTTATCAAGCTCCAGAGTCACCAGGAGCTGGAAGGACAGATGAGTACATCTATTCAAGGTCACTGAGCTGCCAGTTATGTGCAGAAACCCAGTCTGGTGCTCCCAAAAGCACGACACATGGGCTGGTGGCTGAGTCGCAAATCCTCCCTAATATCCTCACCGGGGCCCAGGACCTCCTGGCCGCTACTGCTACTCACACCTCCACTCGGTATAATCAACAAACAGGTCACCCCAGAAAATCACTCTCCACTTTGAAAGAGCCACATGTAGAGACTCAATAAATGTTCATCGTTGGCGCTAAACTTTTAAGACTGTAGATTTTTTTCACTTCAATTTAAAAAATCATTATGTTGTTTTCTCTTGTAAGAGAAGCACATGCTGCGTGTTGCACCTTTGGAAATTACAGGGAAAAGCCTGTAACCTCTTTAGAGAGAACAACTTTTTTTTAAAAAGAAGATTTTATTTATTTGACAGAGAGAGAGAGATCACAAGTAGGCAGGGAGGCAGGCAGAGAGAGAGAAGGAAGCAGGCTCCCTGCTGAGCAGAGAGCCCGATGTGGGGCTCAATCCCAGGGCCCTGGGATCATGCATGACCTGAGCCGAAGGCAGAGGCTTCAACCCACTGAGCCACCCAGGCACCCCTAGAGAGAACAACTTTTAATCTTTCATTTTTAATTCCTATAATACAGATTTATGTAAGTGCAATTTTGAAAGTATTTTGTATCCTTTTTCCCCACTTGACACTATAACGTAATAGTTTTCAAAATCATTTTTAAATGGTCAGTCATCTCTAAAGTATTAATTTACTAATTTTTCTGATCAGAGCAAAACTGCATTTATGAATAACACCCAAACTGGGGGAGGCACCATCTGATTTAGGCAATTCCCTCCCTGAAACAGCTGTCATTACTAAGAACCCCGAACCCATGGGAAGGCATTACACCCGCTTCAGATACACTAGCAGTCTGATAGCTTCTCTGAGTAATGCAAAGCAACATTTCTGACAAGCACATTTCCAGAAGACATCAACTGGCTGGGCAGTTACCACCGTAACTGGAACAGGAGGGATCGGACAAAGCAGGGGATGCAGGGTTTTTACATTTCTTTCTGTAAAAGATTCCAGGTCAGATTCCCTTAGCCTGGGGGTCCTTATTCAGCATGTCCAGAGAAGGACTAGAAGAGTTCATTTTTTTTTTTTTTTTTGCCACTTAGGTTCAAAAGAACAGGGGCAGGGAGGAACCTGCGTGCATGCACGTGCAGATGAGTGAAAATAAGCATCTGCATGCTTGCACCGGACGGTCGTGGATGATTCCTTCCGGAAATGGTAACTTATTTACCAAGAAGAGACCCTACAGATCTTTACAAAACAAATGAAGAAAACACACGTGAGTGCCCTGGCTCACCAGGCAACAGCGGTCCCAGCACGCTCCAGGCAGCCAATTCACGTATTCTCCTGCTCTCCACTTTCAAGACAGACCACGCTCTCTTGGGCACATTTCCAAGTCCTACCCCTGAGGACGGGGTACCTGGGCTTTGACAGGACTCAGGGTCACTGGCCAGGAGAGGAGGCAGGTGATGTGAAAGCTCCTGGAGGAGGAGGAGGAGGAGGAGAGAAAAAGTCCCGCCCAGGACACATCTCGGCCAGGGGCTGAGGACGGCAGCAGGCACCATGACCGAGGAGTTCAGAAACTTCCCTTAAGCTCTGCAACTTCTCTCTACCTTTGTTATTTTTCCTATCTTCTGCTATTTCCTACTAAATGAAACTGTTTATGTTGGAAACATCTAAAGAAGGAAGAAACTGAGAATCCTGTCTCACTCAGTAACCAGTGCTGGGAGTGAATATCAAAGCCCGCTGAGGCAAACCACAATTCTGGAAAAGTTCCCCCAGACCGTCAGAGTTTTCCCATTCTTCACGAAGTACCTACTATCTGTCAGACCCATGAGGTAACATTTTTCACTTTTTCACTGGAGTATAGCTGACACACAGTGCTACATTAGTTTCAGGTAGAAAGAACGTTTTTAAAAGCCTTCAAATTAGTAAGTTTCACTATCAGGTAACTAGGGAGAATACTGTATACAAGATTTAGCCACAAAGACTAATAATTCAAGGGCAGTCAAGAACACCATCTGGCACTGAAGCTCAATTTTCCGCTGTGCTTATACAAAATATAAAACAGCAATACTTAAGTTCCTGAAAACTAAATTCAGACACTGACAGCACAAAATTTTATTTCCCCTTTGAAGTCAAGCCTTCCTTCCCCCTCACAGATACTAGACTTCACCAGGAAAATTACAGAAAGAGTGTAAGGGTGTAAGAAACTTTCCAATCGGGCCCTCCACAGACCAAGTTCCAAAGACTGGAGGGGGAAGGAACCCTGTTCAAGTGACAGAAACACTAGGACTGCCGAGTCAAAAGAGGTCTGCAAGAGAAGATGTTGTATGGAATCTGTTTTTTCTTCCACGATTATTTCCCAAAAGTAGGGTTTCACAGAAACACTTTAGGAAACGCGGTTCTGGGCCCATCTGCTCATTTCTCTCATTTAACAAGAGAAAGATTAATAAGCCACACAGCTAGTTTCAGCAAGGCCAAGAGTAAAACACTACTTCATTAATCATTTCTACGCTTCCTCTCAACCAGCAGGTGAGTGCAATAGAGGGAATGTGCAATAATTTACCCGGTCCAGTTTAAAAGTGCAGGTACCTGAGTCTCCAGGCCCTATGCACAGTTAGCAGGCCTGGGGCTGGTTCCAGGAGTGATTCTAAAGGCAACCAGAGTCAAGCAGCTTGGAAGCAGGCATCCCTAGAGCACTCAATGGAACACCAACTATTAAAGCCTTCCTAGGCCCCTTCCTGTCTGGCAAAATATCAAGAGATAGGCTATAGGTGTGATGACCGTAACAGGGTCATTTCTAATAGGCAACAGTGCACATGAGCCTTTTCTATTTCTGACTTTCTGTATAAGGAGTCTGATAATTGCTCCAATTTCCTTTGTCAAGAAATTGCCATTTGAATCCTGGTTACCAAACCTCACCTGGAAATGGAAGCTTCAGTCTTCTGATCACGTTACTTTTGCTCCTAAAATATTACCTGTGGAATGCAGAGCGCTCTCTTCGCTCTCTTTCAGGATTTCCCCCACGGTCAAGTCTAAACTGTAGTTAGAGCTTGAGGTTTACAGTGAGTTTAGTTCAAATTAGTAAGTAGCAGTACTTACAACACAGGTAACAGAAGGTTTGACCGTGCAGTCAAAGGTGACAGGCTTCCCATAGACACAGGAGAAATTTGTCTTGCATTCTACACAGTCTGCAGGAAGTTTGCTACACAAACCATTACTTGGACACTTCATCACATAAGGTGGGATATCAGTACTTTCTGTGAAAAGTAAGAGAGAAGCTTATTCTCATATAACATTGATCAGCACCACAGGAAAAAACAATTTCCTAGGGTAAGGGACATGACTGCTAGTAATGAAATACTGCTCTGGAATGGAAAATGACAAGGTTGAAGTCAGAGACACCTGCAATTAAAGCAAGGTTCTGCCACCAAGTTGTGTGAGCTGGGGCAAGAGTTCAACAGCTAAGTACAAAGAATTTAATTACTGCCCTCCAAAGAACATGAAAATCAAAGGTACTTATGTACATACAATGTACACACAAAGTTGGATGTAAGTTTGGGCCTCAAAAAAATCTACTCTGTAACAAGATGAAAAATTAAGGCTTAGAGAGGGTAAGGTTTGTTCATGATCACGGAGTGAAAAAACTGGAACCGTGACCCAAATCTCTGTTTCTAATCCAGTATTCTTTTCCTCTGTATTCACGGATTTGGTAATCACAACACTGACCCTCCAGAGTAAATCATTCAGTACAACAGGGTACCAACTTTAGAAAATGTTCTCCATCATTATTCTACACTGGTACTTCAAAGAGCCTTAATTTGCTAGTACCACTTACAGTTTTATACTACCCATGTCCAACACAGTTCTTCTTATTAATAACTTGTTCAGTGGGTTCTAATTTTTTTCCCAGACAACCTTACCAGGAGGACAATATGTTTTTATCAATTAAGAGAACGATCATTTCCAGGTATTCCTGGGGGAAGAAGAGATGTTTTCAAAAAGGTTTCACAAGAATAAAATTTCTTGTGCTTTCTCTATAATCTGTGCTTTAAAATTCAAGTATGGGGGTGCCTGGGTTGTTCAGTGGGTTAAGCCTCTGCCTTTACCTCAGGTCATGATCTCAGGGTCCTGGGATTGAGCCCCACATCGGACTCTCTGCTCAGCAGGGAGCCTGCTTCTCTCCCTCTCTCTGCCTGCCTCTCTGCCTACTTGTGATCTCTTTCTGTCAAATAAATAAATAAAATCCTTAAAAAAATTCAAGTATACTCCTGTCTTGTAGTAGTCTTAACATCCAAATAACAATCAGTAAAATACCTGTCAGTTTCAGTTCATTCAACTAATGGAACTTTAAAGGGATGAACTATAAAGACAAAGGTTCTGTTTAGCAAAACACACTAAGACTCATTTAAAACTGATCCAACTTAAAGTCACTGGATTACATAGTCAATTCTGCAAAATAACATTTATCTTTTCTTTTATTCTGATTACGTGGCTGAAGTTGGACACTTAGAAATCACAAAGCCAAAATGACTTTAGAGGGTCAGGCTAACTTCACCACTTTAAAGATGAAGAAAGCAATGCTGAAGGGTTGAATAACTTGCTCAAGCTCCCAGTAGCTCATGCACACCTAGAGTCCAAGTCTTATTCTGTCTGTGATCCTTCCATTTCACACAGCCTTGGGAGGAGCCTCTCATGCCCAGGAATGAAGGGCCTTAAAAAGAAAAAGAAATTTTCTAAAGGGAAAGAAGCACTAAGGTCGAAGGTGATCTTGATGAACGAGGCGGAAAAATAATGAAGAGATAGAAATGAGGAATGGGGAACTGGAAAAAAAAAAAAAAAAGATGAGGCCAGAACGTCAAAAGGTATTGCAATATCAAGAGAGTCTACAGAAAAACATCTGTGTGTCTGTCTTTAGTTCACGTAACCTGAAATACAATAAAAATTTCAAAAAAACCGGAAAGTTATTTTATCTAAAAGAAGAAAGAAACCACTAGATATAAATATACACATTTACTAGAATAGAAAATGTCTAGTACCTGCTGCCCTGGGAACTACTGTGAAAGTACGTGTTGGGCCCGGATCCTTTATTGACTGAGCCAGCGGCTGCGACTGCTCTAAATTTAAGGATCCTACAATTAGAGAAACATGTTATCCTGGGATAGGAAAACCTTGGTTTGTGTGGTTGAGACGCAAGGTCCACACCAGGCCAATAACTGCTCATGAATACCTCACAACTTGACTGCCCAGAAAACTAAACAAAGAAACGCCAATGGGGTCTACACCAATTTGGATCGATGGGCAACGAGGGAACAAAGCGTGATATCGGGTTCCAGGTCCGCTTCCCCCGCCGACACCCGAGCCCTCGGAACCCCACGCCAGGGATCATTAGCTGAGTTCGGCTAATGAGCCGGGGTCCTTGAGGGAAGGCGCGGCCGCGGAGAGGGCGGCCAGGACCCCCGGAAGACAGAGCTGCAGCGACCTGCTGCCCCGCGCCCGGCACTCAGCCTCCGCCCTCCGTCCGCGGGCCTAGCGCGGACGCTTCCCGCAGCTCCCTGGGGCCTCGCTACCGCTCAGCCCGACCCCGCGTGGACCCCGGCCTTTAACTCACCCCCGCCCGACAAGATGTAGAACTGGGAGAGGAACAGCAGCACCCGGCACAAGCGGCGCAGGGCCCACAACGGGACCGCCGCAGCCGCCATCTCTCCGGCGCGCGCACATCCGGGCTGGGAGGCGGGACTAGGCGAAGGGGCGGGGTGTCGGCGCGGACCGTGGGGGCGTGAGCAGGCGCGTCCCCGGGGAGCCCAGGACGCAGGCGCATAGCCAGGTCCGCGCGGGGTCTGCGGAGCGGCGTGGGTCTCCGTCTCCGCTGCTGGGATGGAGGTGGTGGGCCGCGACGCTGTGAGGTTGTTTGAGTTCCCCACGGACGAGGCGCTCCCTTCTCCTTCCGTGGCTAGCGACTGGGGGAGGTCACCCGGGACCGAAATTCACGCCTAAGTGGCTGCTGTCAGAGGCGCGCAGATTGGGAAGTTGGCCATCATGTATATAGAGAGGTTGAAAACTGCTCGGTACTCTACGGTGGGGATGACGTATTTGACTGCATATCGAGACGGTACTTGTTTGCATATGAAGAAATTGTGGCACAACCCCAGTAAGGGACGTGACACCCCCCCCTCCCCCCACCCCGCGCTGTGACAGGCAGCCCCAAAGGACGCCACCCTTTTCTGCGTTGCGGACCTGCTCAGTGCCCAACTAGCATCTCTCTGTGATCAGTTGTGGGTGTTACCACTAGCCAACTCTTTAAAGACGCTTCCAGAAATTTCCTCTGAGCCTGGGAGAGGACAGTAAATATACCTGGCAAGTATTCAGGTCCAGAGGTACTGGGACGAGAACCCTGGGATATGAAAGGAGGGTCCAAAGCACGGGCCCCTCCTTGGAGAAAGCCAGCCTTGGGCAGGGGAGCTGCACCCCCAGGCCTCTGGCTCCCTGTGTGCTCAGATGGCCGATTGCGCCTATTTTCGTCAAAGCCTACTTTGTCCTGTGATGCTGACTTGCGTTCCTCCTTCCCACCCACCTGCCACAAGATTCTTTGGGGGCCTTCTGACTCCCCACTCCTTCACTAGCAGTTTTGATGAATGAAGAGAATATACTGAATGGTGTCTGGCACACAGTAAGCCCTCCATAAATATTACCTTAAAAATTATATCACATACTTTGCGCCTCTTCGTACCATACAGGTCTGATACATAATACAGTTTTGTTTACTAACTGTTTAGGATGCTAAATAAAAAAGGTGTTGAGAAGAGAGAGCATGTCTTAGATTCATTTTGAATTCCACAGCGTCTAGCCAGATAAAACGCCCAATAAGTACTTCTTGATTGGTAGCTAAATTCTCTATTGGCATAAAGCTATTTCAATTCGGTTTTGAGCAGTGAGGCATTCCTATCAGTTAAAATCAGAAATCCATTTGAATTGTGGAACGGAGTGAAGGAAACTCCATTTAAGATGGAGCCAGGAGGCCAGAAGGGGGAGCTCTCGTGCCCTACCATTCCTAATGGACTACAGAATTGTACTACAAGAGAAGCACCTTGCATCCCTAGCAGCAAGAGCCTGTACTCTGACCCCAGCAAAGATTTTCTCTTTGCCGGGGTGACAGCCCAGCCAATGAAAAGCCACTACGCTTCAACTCCCAGTTTACTTTGGTGGACTTTTTGTTTATAACAGCCCTTCCCAATTCCCCCCTGCCCCCTTCACTCTGTGAAAGAGCAGCCTTCGCTCCTTTGTTTTCCAGACTTGTCTATGGTTTTGGGATAGCTTACATGCCTCAAAATAAAAATCATCTACTTTTCCCAAATGAACCCATTTTTGCTGGTAAAATAATGGACAGTTTTATTTTTAAAGTTAACAGTGTAAATCAGTAGAATGTCATCTCATGAAAAAAGTAATTTAACTCTAAGGGAGCAGCTTACTGTGGTATAAGCTCATAGCTGAAATACTGGAAACACTGTGTGCTGCCTTTTATTTAAGAATTTATTTTTTCTACAGATGAACAATTGTCAGTTAGAAGCATTAAAACCCAACTCTTAACCTACACTGCAAACAACAGTAGATTCCACAACACTGAATTTGAGGTTCTAAGTCCTTTGTCAGTAATCCAATATTTAGTACTAGCTGCTGCTTTTGTGGCTGTTGGTTAATTAAAACAAATTAAGTGACAATTCCAGTTTGGAGAGAAAGTTTCCATGTGAACTTTAGTAAAACAACTGTAAAAATACCTGAGATGTATTGTCCTAGAAAATAAGATTTTCCCTTATATTTAAAAAAGCATTGTAGGTTTTAATTTGAAGACTATTTTTTGAAAACCACAATCTCAGTAATGACCTCTCCTAATATTCATATCCTAGTATTACCCTCTTTCAATAAATAACATTTCCCACTTAAGGCTCTCAAGGCATTTGGGAAATTAAGAATTTCCCAAGCTTGTCCTCAGACACATTAATGAACTAAACTTTTATATCAGCTACTCATTCATTGTCTCCTTTCTCACTGTGCCCATCAGTGAGTCAAAAGTTCTTAGAAGGGACGCCTGGGTGGCTCAGTTGGTTAGGCTGTTGCCTTCGGCTCAGGTCATGATCCCAGGATCCTGGGATCAAGTCCCACATCGGGCTCCTTGCTCAGTGGGGAGCCTGCTTCTCTCTCTGCCTCTGCCTGCAGCTCTGCCTGCTTGTGTTCTCCCTCTCTCTCTCTCTCTGACAAATAAATAAGTAAAGAAAAAAATCTTAAAAAAAAAAGTTCTTAGAAGTAGTACTACCGGTAAAGAAAAATGCATTTTTAGGGGTCAAAACAAGGTTATACAGAAGCAAGTACAGGAAAGAACTTCAAAAGTCTTCCTCAGCATTTAGTGTACGTGATTTCTTGAGATTCTTCAACTTATCAATGGCAGAAGCTACAGAAATCTCTCCGTGAATTTTGTTGTCTCTTGTTCGAACATTTACAGCATTATTTGTCTTTTCCTTTTCTCCAACCACTGTGGAAAAGAAAGGGTAATAAACATATTTTAAATAAGTGATTTATTAAATATCAAGTCAACAGTCATATGACACATGTCTTACTGAGTTCTTCTTCAGTATTAATCCCTAATTATCAATCTAATGACCTTGAAGTCATCCTCTGATAGTGTGTTTCTTGAGAGAAGGAATGACATCTAATCCCCTCTCCTCTTGTCCACTTGCATGAACACATATTGTGGTCTTGGGGTATAAAATGGAGCAGGGAGGTCTCGCAGATCCCCTGACTCTATATGGGTAAGCACCAGACCCAGGCCCACCAGACAACCAAAATTTTCTGGAATGTACGCAAAAAGTTTCTCTCTGGTGCCCCTTACTGTGGGATGATGCAGGCTTGTCTCTTGCCATGTGGAAGGAAGAAACTGGTAACCAGCTAAGGGGAATATAGTGGATAATCAAGAGAAGCATAAAGAACCATAAACAAAGTAGGAGCTAGAAATGAGGAAAACAGTACTGATAAAGGTTGAGTAACTTCCTCCAGTTACTCTTCTAATGGTCTGGCTATTTAATTCTACCATCTGTGTCATGAGATATCTCATTACCCTTCCAGTAAATTCCGTCTTTGTCTAAGTCGGTGTGAAAGTTCTGTCACCAGAAGGAGCCTGAATGAAACATCCCAGTATCTATTACACAGTCAAACACTTTTGATGCATATTTATTTTACCTTCTACAGAATCACTCAACTTATTGGAGATAACAATATCATGCCTGGAGGCAGCCAGGATCAGCTTCTCTTGATTTCTGAATAATTTTAAGTCAAAATTTTAGATGCTGCATCCAAGTACTCATATGTCTTATGGATACTTTTTCACTTAAATTCTTTTCTTTTGATCACCTTAAATTTGGCAATTTTCCCACTGATTAATCCCAAGGGTTTGTAATAAATCAGAAAAGCAAGGGAGGATATTTGAGGCCTGTCACATAAGTGAAACATAAAGAGTGTAATTCTACAGATGAAATCATTTTCACATTTTTTTTCTTTGTTGAGTTGAGATGTTAACTACTGCTAGTGATATCATCCCACAGGACTCATGTGAGGTTTTACAATTCTTCTTCCAGCAAACCACAAGGAGTATTTAAGAACAACTAACTAGGAACACCGTGGGCTATTCTTTGTGGACAGGTAATAAATTGTCATAATCACATAGTTGTACCATATTCATGTAGTTATACCATTCCCGTGGTTATACTATATTCACGTAGTTTATACTATGTTCAGAGAGTTAAACCATTTGTTTTTTGGAATTAAAGTGGAAAAAAAACCCAAGCATTTGAGAAAATATAAACTTAAGTTACCCAAAATAAAATTATACTGAGCCAGCTGTGCATTTCGTATTTTCTTATTTAGTGTACAGTTATGATCTAAGTCAACGTCAGCCATGAGTCCTTCTTCAAAAAACGCACTGGATACCTACAAGAAAATAAAACACTTTCATTATGATGATATTTATGGTAGCCAGCCTCTGAGATGACCCACAGGGTATTCACATCCTGTGTCGTCTCTGCCACAGGGTACCAGGTGACTATGCGACCACAGAGAAGGGCAGGAGTGATGGAGCATCACGCCTGAGATGAAGCTGAAAGACCAGCTTCTACGTCTTCAACATCACTCCCTCTGGGGAAACCAGCTGCCGCGTTGGGAGGATACTCAGGGAATCTCTGAAGAAGCCCCCCAGGGTGCAGAACTGAGGCCTCCAACACTGACAATGCGAGTGACCCCCCAAGGAGGCAGCCTGGGCCGGCAGCGCAAACTGAGGCCCTGAAGGGATCATGAGCCAGCAGCACCCAGCCTCGCTGCTCCCAGATTCTGACTCGCAGAAACTGGGTCATAATAAATGTTTGCTGTCTCGGGCTGCTGAGTTTTGGAGTTCTCTATTACACACCAACAGTCAAGTGCTCTTCCTTAAGAGAGGCCTGTGGAAAAGAATAACTTAAATAGGAGAGGTTTTAAAAGCCCAATTTCTCAAAAACCTTAAGAAACAAAGTAGTTCTGACCCAGCTGCAGAGATGTGACTCAGATGTTACTCTCAGTTACTGAAAATGCGGGTTGCTAATGTAATGTATTAGTTATGCAATATTTTAAGGCACAAATAACATTCCAAGTCAATAACCTCCACAGACATGCTGAGATGATTATGTACTTTCCTATCTCTGATTTTACCTGCAGTGCGAATTTTTCACAAGTTGGCCCCACGGGGATGACCATTACCTGACGAGGAGACAGCCAGAAAGGCCTGAAAAATATATAAGATCGTATTTTCAAAATCTAATGATGATCAAGTATTACGTGATTTTAAAAAATAACCAAAGATTTTTTAAAAGTAAGACTTCATAAGAGAGCAGACTCAGCAGAGTGGTGTCAAAGTAAACCAAACCACATCGAGAGCTAAAAAGCAACAGGGGACACAAAAGGGGAAGCTGGGAATTATGGGGGGAAAGGGAAGGTGGAACAGGTCAGCCACTGGGAGGAAGGGCTAAACATCACGTATCACACCACCGGGCAATTACACCCCTGGGCACTTATCCCAGAGAAATGAAAACATGTTCACACAGACACCTTCCCACTAAAGTTCACAGAGGCTTTATTTATAATGGCCCCAAACTGGAAACACTCCAAATGTCCTTCAATGGACGAATGGTCAGACTGGTGCATCCACACCATGGAACACTATCGGCAGTGAAAGGGGACCAACCACTGAGACGTGAAACGAGTTGGATGGAGCTCAAGGGAATGCCACTGAGTGATTAACGCCAGTCACACACAGTTGCACACTGTGTGATTCCATTTACGTCACCTTCTTGAAATGACAAAACTGTGGAGCTGGAGAACAGATGAGTGGCTATCGGGGGATGCTGATGGGGGTGGGATAGGAGGTGCGTGACAATAAAAGGGTAGCACGAGGAGTCCTCGTAAGCAACAGAACTGTCCTATGTCTTAGGTGGGTACACAGTTATAGAACTCTGTAGAACTCAACACACACACAAGTGCCTATGAGCTCGTCAGACCTCAATAAGGTTGGTGGATTGTATCAAAGCCAATTTCCTCATCATGATATTGCATAGAGTTTCGTAAGATGCTGCCACTGAGGACAACTGACGGAAGGGTATACTGGACCTTTCTCGATGATTTCTTACCACTACATGTGAATTTACAGTGATCTCAAAACGAAATTTTTTAAAAAAATGGGAAGTTGGGTATAAGCAGTGTTTAATGTGGGAAATATTTCTTCATCAGGACTTCGTTTGAAGGTGAAAGGAAATGCAGTGGGAACGACTACGTGGCAGCACCTTATGAATGTTTATATATTTATTCTTAAATTACAAAAGCAAAATAACGCAAATGATAAAAGTAAAATAGGAATACAGTGGCAAAAACATGGGAATACACTGGATATGTGAAAAGTAAACATCTCCTTCTGAGCTCTGTCCTCACCCCATCCCCAGGGGAGCCACATTTTAACAACTGCTATTTTGAGCCCTTGGGGAGGCCTCGACCACATCTCAGGCAGGTGTCTGAACTCTTGACCGATGGCTTGCACAGCCTGTGCCCCGAGTCTGTGCGATGAAGGACTGAGTGCACAGCACCACCTCCTTCTCCCCTCCATCTCCTGATCCCACTAGTTCTTTTTAGCCTTTGAGCACATTCACTGCCACGACTCTAGGGCAAGACCCCACCATCTCTTACCTACATTAAAGTATTTAAAACAGAATCAACCATAAAGAAATGTCGATGTGTTAACTCATACTTAGGTAGCATGTGTGTTCATATCTGTATTTTTGGCTTACCTGTAACTTTAACAGCTTGGACACCCCATGATACCTAAGCACGTTTCTCGAAGGTCACAAATAAAACTTCAGGGATGCACACAGACTCCAGCTACTCAGGACCTCTTAAAGACTCCCTGCTTGGGGAGTTTCCCACCTTGCAGTACCCGCCTAGACATTTGCCTTCCCAGCGGCCCCAGACAGGTTCGAGTCCAGGCACGTGATCTGGCATGTAAAAGGCCGGTGCTTGGATTTGGGACAGAATAGTCCCTGGGGGGAGGGACTACATGGAGTCAGTTCTGGTGGGGGTGGTGCAGAGACATGGAGCTCTGGGAGGGACCTATGGCAGTGACACGAGCAGGACATCCAGCGCCCAGGGCCAACGATGGGAGCTACAGGGACCGTGCCCAGCAACAGCAGCACAGAACTCAATCAGAACTGAACCGCATGAGCAGATCTCAGTCAATTTCTTCAAAATGAGATGAGAGATGAAGATACCACGTGGGGTTGCTGGGTTGCAGCATTTCTACCTGCCATTGGATACCGATACCACAAGATGGATCACCTGCTACCTGGTGCCTCGACTGCCAGCAAGGCGAGCTGCCTCGGGAGCTTGGTAATACCAGCAAATCTCACAACGTCAGCTCAGCGCCTTACTTCTTTTGCTAAAAACAATTACTTCCAGGGCCAGAAGCGTTATTGTGTTTCTGACACAATAGTGTAAGTATTTACATGGTGCTGTTGACAGAAGCATGGGAGGAAGAAAGAGCTAAGCAAATTCCAGAGTTGATCCCTTCTCCAGCAAGGACAAGTCACTGGCACTTGCATGATGAGAAGGAACCAGAAAGCTGATGGTTCCCCAGGGTTATGGTTCCATAGAAGGGGTCAGGATTGATCGCTACTGATGGCAGATTGAGGCCTTGGAAGAGGCATAGCCAAGTGGAACTTGGGGGCGGGGGCATGTTGTTGATCCCGAATCCGCAAGTGGCCACTTTGTTCGTGAACCACGGAGCAGCCACTAGGGGAAGAATGAAGCTGATGGTAACCCTAGAATGGGTCCTCCTTTATTTGAATCTTTAAAAACAACCCACAGTAAGGGTTTGGGGTGGGTGACTCCACCTTCAAGGGCCATTCTGAGTGATGATCCACCTTCCTCTCCCCCAAATCTACTTGTCATCTACTTTCCAATCGAATTACTTCTAGGTCAAAGCAGTCACCGGAGCCCAGTCATGGCTGTAACTCCATGGGTTTGGCCGTTTTGCCTTCCAAGGGAAGGGGATTGTGAGATACACTTATTTCCCTGCCACACTTCTTTCCTAAGTGACTGTAGCTGTCCTCATTGGGTTTGTGCCAAAGTATCATTCAGAGCCATTTCTGAGCCAGGTTTAGGTGCTTTTCTCCCCATGTTGACTGGGGACCCCCAGGAGGTGAACAACACGGGCTGAAGGAGGGATGGCCATTCAGCAGGAGGTGGAATGGTACTCCCAGGGTCACCAGACACAACTAGATCTTTAAAGGGCTTGACATAGGTGAAAAGATAACTCTTCAATTCTACCGCATGCCCTGAAAGGTAAATGATACAGTTTTAGGCCACACTGCTTTTGTCTTCTTTGTTTTGGTTTCCTGACCTGGTAGATTCAATAAGAGTTGACCACTCGGTGTTTGGATACTTGCTAATTACAATGCAGGAGCCACCAATTTTTTTTTTTTTTTTTTTGCAGTAATCCTATCTTGTTAGATAGGATATTTCAAAATGATAGACAGTTTTTCTTTTCTGTATTACTTACCACTTCCCTGCATAGTTTTCCGACAGGATGGCTATCATTCTCTCCACTGACCCCAAAATGGCTCGATGAATGATCACGGGGTTCCGCTTATCATCTCCATCCTTACTAAAAGGATGGAAATTAAACATTTATGTATTCTCTTAAGATTCAGTCATAACTTTATCTTCTTGCCTTCTATTTAAAAGTTATTCTCCTGAACTAGGAAAAACAATTGATTCCTCATAAATCATCTTTAAGCATATAATGTGCCATGTATTAGAGATAATAATACGAACCAAACAAAAATGAAGTATATTATGTAAGAAAAAGCAAGGTAATATTAGGGCACTATTTCTACTATAAGTCTACTGATTATCTTTTATTCTAAACTACTGGCTACTCTCAGTTTAGTAATACTGACAGGCAATCTTACAAATCATAATTTTTTCAAAATTTTTCTTGGGGCACCTGGGTGGTGTAGTCAGTTGAAGGACGGACTCTTAGTTTCCGCTCAGTCGACGATCTCAGGGTCCTGGGATGGAGCCCCAGGTCGGGCTCTGTGCTCAGCAGGGAGCCTGCTTGAGATTCTCTCTCCCTGTCCCTTTTCCCCACCCCAACCCCACACTCTCTCTGTCTCTAAAATGAATAAATCTTTAAAAAAACAGATTTTGTTCTTATTTTCTCATAAACACTAAAGATGAATCATGGGATGAATCATTTTGTGAGTTATAAAGACAGAAAATGAAATTTGAAAAAAATTTGCACTGCTGTAATTAGTTAAGTTGAATATCAATTTACATGTTCAATGATTGCTTATATTTCTTTTTTTTAAAGATTTTATCTATTTATTTGACAGGCAGAGATCACAAGTAGGCAGAGAGGCAGGCAGAGAGAGGGGGGAAGCAGGCTCGCTGCTGAGCAGAGAGCCCGATGCAGAACTCGATCCCAGGACCCTAAGATCATGACCTGAGCCAAAGGCAGAGGCTTTAACCCACTGAGCCACCCAGGTGCCCCAATTGCTTATATTTCTTTTACTTCAGTTGCCTACTGTGTCCCTTGTCCATTGTCTAGTTGGAGTGGGGGTGATCATTTTTAAACATATATGTGCAAAAGTGTCTATATATAGTATTATATATATATATATATATGTATATATACACATACATATATACACAGTAAACAAATATATAAAGATACATTAAGGAAACTAACTCCTTTTCTAATGTGGGAAATTGAAAATACTTCTTCCAAGCACATTTATTTACTTGTCCTTTGCCCGTTTTTATACTATCTTTTCTATCATAAGTTTTTAATTTTGGGCAAATCAAAGTTGTCTTTCTTTCTCTCTTTTTAAATTTTTTTTAGATATTTATTTATTTATTTATTTATTTGAGAGAGAGAGACAGTGAGAGAGAATACGAGTGGAGGGGAGGGACGAAGGGAGCGGGAGAAGCAGATTTCCCTCTGAACAGGGAGCCCTGAGATCATGACCTGAGCTGAACGCAGATGCTTAACTCACTGAGCCATCCAGATGCCCAAAGTTGTCTTTTCCTTTATGAATTTTAACAGTAACATTATGTAAAGAAAGAAACTTCTCCAATATAACAAAAATATTCACTACATTTTCTTCTCCTACTTTGATGGATTTTTAAAAAAATTCCAGTGTAGTTAACATACAGTGTTATATTAGTTTCAGGTGTACAATATAGTGATTCAGTAATTCCATATATTAATCAGTGCTCATCATGACAAGTGACTCTTAATCCCCTTCATCCCCTTAATCCCCTACCCACCAACCCTCTGGTAACCATCTGTTTGTCCTCCAATAATCAAGAGTCTGTTTTTTGGTTTGTCTCTTTTTCTTCCTTTGTTCATTTGTTTTGTTTCCATGTATGAATGATATCATATGGTATTTGTCGTTCTCTGACTGGCTTATTTTGCTTGGCATTATACTCTCTAGCTCTACCCATGTTGTTGCAAAAGGCAAGATCTCATTCTTTTTCAAGGCTGAGTAAAAATGGATGCATTCCTGGAAACCTATAAACTTCCAAACCTGAATTAGGAAGAAATCGATAACCTGAATAGACCAATATCTAGTAACGAGATTGAAGCAGTGATCAAAAACCTCCCAAAAAACAAGAGCCAAGGACCTGACGGATTCCCTAGGGAATTCTACCAAACACTCAAAGAAAAATAATACCTATTCTCCTGAAGCTGTTTCAAAAAATAGAAACAGAAGGAAAGCTTCCAGACTCTTTTTTTGAAGACAGTATTACTCTGATCCCCAAACCAGGCAAAGACCCCACCAGAATAGAAGGAGAGATAAAAAGTTTCACAAACAAGGATGGAAGGAGTTCATGACCACTAAACCAGCCCTACAAAAAATACTAAAGGGGGTTCTTTGAGTAGAAAAGAGAGACCAAAAGTGATAGTATAAAGGTGGGAAACACGAAAGCAGTAAAAATATTTCTGTAAAAAAATCAGTCAAAGAATGCACAAAAAAAGGATATGCCTAAAACAGGTGCCTAAAACATGGGGAGGAGAGGAGAAAAGAATGGATTCAAACTTAAACAACCATCACTTTAATATAGACTGCTATATGCAGAGGAGGTTATATGCAAACCTAATAGTAATCATATATCAAAACCAGTAAACAAACATGTAAAGAATAAAGACAAAGTAATCCAAATATATCACCAAACAAAATCAGCAGAACATGAAAGACAGAAAGGATCAGTGAAAATCTCCAGAAACAACCACAAAACAAGTAATAAAATGCCAATAAATACATATCTATCAATAATTACTTTGAATATAGATGGACTAAATGCTCCAATCAAAAGACACAGGGTGTCATAATGGATTAAAAAAAATAACCATCAAACACTGCCTACAAGAGTCTCAGTTTAGACCTTAAAACATCTGCAGATTGAAAATGAGAGGATGAAGAAACATTTATCACACAAATAGATGTTAAAAGAAAGTCATTGTAACAATACTTACACTGGACAAACTAAACTTTAAAACAAGACTGTAACAAGAGGCAAAGAAGGACACTATATAATCATAAAGGGGACGATCTAACAAGAAGATACACCAATTGTAAATAGTTATGCACCCAATACAGGAGCATCCAAATATGTAAGATAATTAATAACAAAGATAAAGGAACTCATTGATAATAACACAATAATATTATGGAACTTTAACATCCCACTCACATCAATGGATGGATCATCTAAACAGAACAAGAAATGACAGTTTTGAATGACACACAGAAGCAAATGAACTTAACAGATATATTCAGAACATTACATCCTAAGACAGCAGAATACATATTATTTTCAAGTGCACATGGAACATTCTCCAGAACAGATCACATATTAGGTCACAAAATAGGCCTCAACAAATTTTAAAAAATCAAAATCACACCATGTACTTTTTCTGACCACAATGCTGTGAAAATAGAACTCAGCCACAAGAAAAATTCTGAAAGACCACAAATACATGCAAGTTGAATAACATGGTACTAAAAAAATGAATGGGCCAACCAGAAAATAAAAGAAGAAATTGAAAAATACATGGAAACAAATGAAAATGAAATCATAAGTGTCCAAAATCTTTGGGATGCAGTGAAGTGGTCATAAGAGGGGAGTTTATAGCAATAAAGGACTACATCAAGAAGCAAGAAAAATCTCAAATGAATAACCTAACCTTACACTTAATGTAAGGTTGGAAAAAAGAATGGAGCTGGAAATGGAGCTGGAAAAAAGAATGGAGCTGGAAAAAAGAACAAAGGAAACCTAACACCAGCAGAAGGAAATAATAAAGATTAGAGCAGAAATAAATGATATAGAAACTGAAACAATAGAACAGATCAATGAAACTAAGAGGTGATTTTTTTAAAAAATTAATAAAATTAATATACCTCTGGTTATACTTACCAAAAAGAAAAGAGAAAGGACCCAAATAAATAAAATCACAAGTGAGAGAGGAGAAATATCAACCAACACCACAAAAATAAAACAAATTATAAGAGAACATTATGAAAAACTATATGCCAACAAATTGGACAACCTAGAAGAAGTGCATACATTTCTAGAAACATATAAATCACCGAAACTAAAACAGGAAGAAATAGAAAACTTGAACAGACTGATAACCAGCAAAGAAATGGAATCAGTAATGAAAAATTCCAAACAAACAAAAGTCCAATACTAGATGGCTTCACAGGTAAACTCCACCAAGCATTTAAAGAAGAGTTAATACCTATTCTTCTCAAACTATTCCCCAAAAAAATAAAGGAAGGAAAAATTCCAAATTCATTCCATGAAGCCAGCATAACTCTGATAACAAAACCAGATAAAAATACCATAAAAAAAAAAAAAAGGAGAGAGAACTATAGGTTAATATCTCTGGTGAACATAGATGCAAAAAATCCTCAACAAAATATTCGCAAACTGAATCCAACAATGTGTTTAAAAAAAAATGTTCACCACAATCAAGTGAGATTTATTCCTGAGTTGCCAGGGTGGTTCGATATTCACATATCAATCAACATGATACATCACATTAATGAAAGGAATATGAACCATGTGATTATTTCAATAGATGCAGAAAAAGCACTTTACAAAGTACAATACCCATTCATGATAAAAAAAAAGTGAATAAAGTAGGTTTAGAGGAAACATCATAAAGGCCATATTTGAAAAACCTATGGCTAATATCATCCTTAATAGGGAAAAACTGAGAGCTTTTCCTCTACAGTCAGGAACAAGACAGGGATGTCCACTCTCACCACTTTTATTCAACATAGTACTGGAAGTCCTAGCCTCAGCAATCAGATGACAAAAAGAAATATAAGGCATTCGAATTAGCAAGGAAGAAGTAAAACTTTCACAATTTACAGATTACATGATACTCTGTGTAGAAAACCCCAAAGAATCCACCAAAAAACTGCTAGAACTGATACATGAGTTCAGCAAATGCAGGGGATATAAAATCAATGTACAGAAATCTGTTGCATTTCTATACACTAATAATAAAACAGCAGAAAATTAAGGAATCAATCCCATTTACAACTGCACCAAAAACAATAAGATACCCAAGAATGAACCTGCCCAAAGAGACGAAAGACCTGTACTCTGAAAACTATAAAACACTGATGGAAGAAGTTGAACGTGACACAAAGAAATGGAAAGACATTCCATGCTCATAGATTGGAAGAACAAATATTGTTAAAATGTCCATACTACCCAAAGCAATCTGCACATGTAATGCAACCCCTACCAAAATACCAACAGCATTCTTCAGAGCTAGAACAAATAATCCTAAATTTGTATGGAACCCAAATAGCCAAAGCAATCTTAAAAAAGAAAAACAAAGGTAGAGGCATCACAATTCTGGACTTCAAGTTATATTACAAAGCTGTAGTAATCAAAACAGTATGGTATTGGAACAAAAACAGACAGATCAATAGAAAAGAACTGAAAACCCTGAAACGAATCTACAATTACATGGTCAATTAATGTTCAACAAAGCAAGAAATACCACCCAATGGGAAAAGATAGTCTCTTCAACAACCAGTGTTGGGAAAACTGGACAGCTATGGGAAAAAAACAAAAACTGGACTACTTCCTTACACCAAATAAATTCAAAATGGATTAAAGACCTAAATTTCAGACCCAAAACCATAAAAATCCTAGAAGAGGACACAGGCAGTAACTCTTTGACAATAACCATAACAACTTCTTTCTAGAAATGTCTTCTGAAGCAAGGGAAACAAAATCAAAAATAAACTATTGGGCTAAATAAAAATAAAGAGCTTCTGACAATGAAGGAAACAAAACTAAATCGTAGCCTACTGAATGGGAGAAGATATTTGCAAATGATGTATCTAATAAAGGGTTAGTCTCCAAAATACATAAAGAATTTTCATACAAATCAACACACAAAAAAACAAGTAATCCAATTTAAAAAATGAGCAGAAGACATGAATCGACATTTTTCCAAAGAAGGCATCCAGATGGCCAACAGACACATGAAAAGATGCTCAATATCACTCACCTTCAAGGAGATGCAAATCAAAACTACAATGAAATCAAATGCAAATCAAAACTACACCGCACCTGTCAGAATGGCTTAATCAACAACAGAAGAAACAACAGGTAATGGAAAGGATATGGAGAAAGGGGAACCCTCTTGTACTGTTGGTGGGAATACGAACTGGTACAGCTGCTGTGGAAAACAGTATGGAAGTTCCTCAAAAAGTTAAAAATAGAACTACCCTATGATCCAGCAATTGCACTACTAGGTATTTATCCAAAGAATACAAAAATACTAATTCAAGGGCTACATGCACCCTGATGTTTACCGCAGCATTATCTACAATAGCCAAACTAGGCAAACAGCCAAAGAGTGCATCGATCAATGAATGGATACAGAGGAAGTAGGAAGGGGTGCCTGGGTGGCTCAGTTTGTTAAATGTCTGCCTTCAGCTCAGGTCATGATCCTGGGGTCCTGGAATCAAGCCTGGTGTCAGGCTCCTTGCTCAGAGGGGAGTCTGCTTCTCCCTCTGCCTCTGCCCCTGCTTGTGCTCCCTCTCTCTGTCTCTCTCAAATAAATAAAAAACTTTTTAAAAGAAGTGGTATATATATACAATGGAATATTATTCGTCCATAAAAAAGGAATGAAACCTTGCCATTTGCAACAACATGGATGGAGATAGAGAGTATTATGCTAAGCGAAATAAGTCAGAGAGAGACATTCATACATGGGATTTCAGAAACAAAACAAACAAGCAAAGGGGTGGGGGGAGAAAAAGAGACAAATCAAGAAACAGACAAATCAAGAAACAGCAGAGAACAAACTGATGGTTACCAGAAGGGACAGGATAGGGGGATGGGTGAAGTAGGTGATGGGGATTAAGGAGTGCACTTGTGCTGAGCTGTGTTGTATGAAAGTTTGAGTCACTAACTTGTACACCTGGAACTGGTATTACACTGTATGTGAACTAACTGGAATTCAAATAAAAACTTGAAAAATAAAAACTTGAGAAAATAATATGTATAAAAAATATATGAGTATATCGCACATACAGTACTAGATATTTACTGATCTATGTATTGATGTTTATTTTTGCATTGCTAATGCTCAAATGACAAAAGACTGTCATATTAGTACTACATTACTTGTCATATTCAATTACTCACCTAACATATGTAAGATTAAATCTAATAGGTAGTTGGAAGTCCAGCTGAATTGTGGCACATTGATGATATCTGCCAATAGCATCCTTGATTTTTATATCAATCTGTAAATTAAATGATGTTTGCTTAAAGACAGCTTTCATTTTTCCTTTAAATTTTACTCTTTTTGAGGTATACAATCTACTTACCTTGGGGCCATAAAATGCTCCATCTCCTGGGTTCATCTTCCATGGTTTTCCAAATTCCACCAAGCTGTTCTGTAGTTGCTATTTTTTTTTAAAAGAAGAGAACATTTAAAACGTATACATCATTGTACTCTATATTTTTGCCACATAACTCAAAAAAGTAAGTTATTACAAATCTTAATTATATTCTATTTTAGCTTAACATTTATTTGTTGGGTGTGTTTTATATCCAATAAGTTACTGAGCAGGGACTACATAATGATGATTAAGATAGTACTTGCTCTCATACACACTGTAACTGGAAAAATTAAAAGACAATGTACTAAGCTGTTACAGTGAATTCCAGACAAGTGTTGAGGGAAGCCAATGCAGGCCCCCTCTGCCTACACACTTCCCAGCTCTTTGTAGGTAAGGCCTCCACTCATTAAAAGGCATGAAGACTTTGATCCTTCTCCTTTATCCACTGTGTGTCCTCCCTTCCATTCTGTGTTTAGGTGGGCAAGAAAGCCAAGAGGAAGGGCCTTGCCACTGTCTCTTGCTTTTCCATACCTCTATACATGTAGCTGGGGAGAGGCGTCCTTAATGTTTTATAGCGGGTAGGAGCAGGAGGCCCACTTTGATCTTCAGCCTAAGCCACATAAATTCTTTAACGATAGCCTGTAGTGAAAACCCTCAGAAATGATGGTGTTTGGGTATAAGTATTAATGTAAGTGTCTTTGAGTCTTTTAGCTATTTCCTATGGATATAGCTTCCCTGGGAAGCATCTGGGCATTCCTAAGTCCCTGGCCAGAGTACTGCCAAACCAGTATCCAAAGTCTTGTCATCACCTCAATCTATCTGTGCCCATGAAGGGGTTGACATTTGGTAGTAGACTGCTGACAGGGAAGTCAAAGCAGTGGTGGTGCCTGGGGGCCGAAGCCAGAGTCATCAAGAAAGCTGACCTGTGGGGTCCTGGCAGTCTTCTCCAGGATCTCAGTTAGAGTGTGTTAGGTGCTGGTCTTGGCTGAGATCCCAGGAGGCTCCCTCATGGGCCTGATACTACTAGAACAGCTTGCATTCTACGTAGGACTGGAGAAGTCCACCATCAAAGATTCACTTCCCAGGCTGGGAGGCTAGCCTCTGCCTTACACTGCTTCTGCAAGGAGAAGAGATACTGGGATATATCCCCAGAGAAAATGAGGCTGTGCTGCAGAAGGCAAATAAGTGATGGGGAGAATTTAGGAGACTCCCAGGGAATTAAAAAACCAAAGAAGGGCCAGTTTTAGGGGGAAAGCATAAAGTAAAGGGCACTGATCCTCACTGGGCCTCTGAAGACACAGTGATCAGATGGCCTGATAGGAACAGCCAAGGCTAAGAAAGCTTTCAATTTATGCAAGATACGGGAGGACGTGTATCTCTGAGGGGAGAATGAACTGCTGTAATTCACATCTGTGGACACTGCCTGCATCCTAGTAGAGGAGAAATCAATATCTCTTTTTCTGCTCTTCTGGCTGGTTATTCTTTCCCAGGTAAACGAAGTCTCTGGCTCCCAATAGTACTGTGGGTCTATGTTGTGGTACATCCTGGGCTCTAAACATATTTATTTGCTTGAATTTTGTGGGTGTGGGCTTGGAATGTTCTTAGAGATCTTAATGACTCATTGGAATGCTGGAAAAGTAAGATGCAGGAGAGATTTGGAGAGGGGTTATTCCAACTCCAAGTAGCAGGTGTATTTACATAGATTCCGGGGCAGAGTCCAGATCAGGTCTGCTGAAGCAGCAGCCCAGACCCCCTTCACATTTATATGAGAGGGAACCCTATAACCAAGTTTAGGTTAAATTAAAAAATTGGAGAGCCGGAACATTAAACTATTTCTTGTGGATTTTAATTTTCACAAGAAAAAGTGGCTTTTCTTCAGGTCACAGATTTCTTGATGAAACTTACTAGAAAACAGGACTCACGTCATTCAAATCTAGGGAATTTTTTGCTCCTGACATTCTGGTTATTTGGACAAGCTGTCATCTGATGGTTACACTGCACAGCTCCAGTGAGTTCTGCTGGGTTCCATAACTACACACAATCCGAGATAAGAAATAAGGTAACCGTGAATTGATGACCCAGGAACAATGTGGCCTTGGAGCTGACTTAACTACTATCTCTTTCAAACCATTTCAGAGACATCTTAAGACAAAAAAAAATTTTTTTGAATATAGATATGTATATGTGTGTGTGTGTGTGTGTGTGTGTGTGTGTATTTTTTTTATCTCACTGATTCCCAGATCAGAGGTAGACATCATGGGAGAAATTCCCCAGAGTAGAAGGATTCCCATCTCCTGAGGGAACAATCAATGAGTTAAAAGAGAGCAAAAAGATGGTGAGACTGCCGAGCCCATTCTCCCCGTGCCAGGCCCACAACTGGTTCACCCACTTTTTGGCCCCCAGCACTCCATGTGTGGAGTAATAATAATGATAACACTACCACTATTAATAATACCAACACCTAACATTTCCTTAACACTTATATGTGCCTGGCACTATGACAAATTCCTCATGTAAATTATTCCACTTAAGCCCACCATAACCTTATGCAGTAGGTGTTATCACCATCATCGTCATCATCATCACCATTTCAGACCTAAATGCTTCTTCTGTAATTCATTCATGGAGGTAACCTTTGAAACTAGGCAAAGGATATTCTAGAGTCAAGCTTTGTGCACTCTTTTGCTCTTCCTACTTCCATATGGCTAGGCAGGGGAAGGCTGTCTAGGCTGACTTTCTTCCTCCACGCTACAGATATGGAAGAAGGTGCCTTTAGGATGGGCATGTGACAGAGGGGAGGAGAAGGCCCTAATCAGATCTCAAGCTGAAACTGCTTCTGCCCGGTCTCTGCCTGCCTCAGTACCTAACAGAAAACTAACTGTCACACTCTCCGTACAGTGTTTCTCTGATTCTTAAGTCCTTACATGGTCTCTGTGATCAGTATTCCATGAAGAGGTGGACTAACAGGCAGGTCAGGGTTTAGGGACTCCTGTGGTGTCTGGCCGTAATACCATCCTCATTTCAAATAAAGACTGATGCAGGAAATATACTGTATTCTTTTCACATTTAGTAAGAAGAAGAGAGAGAGAGAGAGAGGAGAATGATGAGCTCCTTAATCTTGGTTTTCCAAAGCTGAAATGTGACAGGCGTGTCTCTCGGTGTGTCTAGAGAGAAGATGACACTAGAGGCTGTGACTGTGGAGGGGATTCAAGCATCGGTGTGTGTGTCTGTATCTATGAGTCACACTCATAGGCTCAATAGGCAACAGGTTAAAATAAGCTGCACACCACACCAAGAGTGCCTGCAAATTAGAGGATTCCTTTAAAACTTAGGAAAGTGGTTGTTAGTGACTGACACTGAAAGAGTATAAACAAAAACCTGATATAAACCTTATACTATTTGAAAAAAAATGTGTTATTATCACTATTAGGAAGAAAACTGGACAGCCACATTCTACAATCTGCATATTTACCCCATAACTTCCAATTTAAATACTTCTATTTCAAAGCATGACATCCGCCTCACGCAAGGTAACTGCAGTCACTCCGGTGGTTTCCATGCTCCCAGAAAGGAAGGTGTGCACTTTGTCTCCCCCTACCTTTTCAGCTTCATCCCATATCTCAACCTCGCCTAGGAACTTTTCAGGCCTTGTTGACAAATTTAATTGAAAGGAGAAGCCAAATGTTGAATAAACAGATTGCAAAAACTGCAAACAGCCATTTATTTCTTCTTCGATCTGAAATAGCAAACAAAATATTCTAGAGTTAACACCAAATTAAATTAAATTTAAAAATAAAGTATGTTTTTATGGTATAGTCGGTGAGACTGTTTTGGTTGTTCCTCTACTCCTTAACCAAATATTCAGGGAATGCCCACATGTCAGGTGTGAGCAGCAGCTCCCAGTCCAGTGTTGAGGTGGGGGTGGGGGGAGACAAAAAAACAGGCAAGGCTACCTCACCATGAGCAGTGCCACACAATAGGGGGCAGAGCCGCTGTCCAGAGGAAGTGATAGCCAAACTGCAGCCAGAGGGTAAGTTAAGAGTTCTCAATGGAAAGCTAGGGCACAGTTTTTGGAGCAGAAGAAATACTAAGAGTAAGGACCCAGAGGACAGAGGAGCAGGCTACAACCAGGGAGCCACAGGAAGCTGCCGTGGGAATGAGCTGTGTATCACAGGGAAGAGGGTACAGAAGGGTGGTAGGTGATCAGGCTAGAGGCAGGCAGGGGCCAGAGAAAATTAAGGATCTTCAAAGCCAGCGTAATGTCTGCCCTTTTTAGCCTGAGAGCAATGGGAAACCAATGGAGATTTCTTCAGCAAGAGACTAGTACAATTCAATCTGTTCCTTTAAAGTATGGGGCAAAGATTGGTAAGACTAAAAGGCAGGCCTGTTGGGAAGCTGGGAGGGTCCTATGGGAGTGAGGTAATGGTGGTTTGAACTGGAAAGAAGTAGCTGGAATGCAAGGAATTTGTGCTGGATGCTGGAAATTTAAGAATGAATAAAATTATTCAGGAATGGATAATACACTTAAGGAGAGTTATCAATAGGGCGACTAACTGGACATGAGGAGTGAAGAGTACCAGACACCTGGACTCCTGGCCTGGGCAGTGGGGAGGATGTTGGTGCATCCCCTGAGAAAGTGAATAGGGGAGGCAGTGGCAGTGGCTTGGGAGGCAGAAACAGGGGCTAATTTTAGATGTGGCAGATGTGAGGATGCTTGTGATGGCCAGGTAGACAGGTCTACCAGGCCCTGTGAGGTGGAGATCTGGAGCTTAGGAAGGAGAGCTGAGATGCAGGTGAGACTGGCAGCTGAGCTTGGAACATAAATGAGGTCCCAGAGAGTGCAGCGGGATCAGAGCTAGAGCCCGTGAGGGTGGGGAGAAAGGAGGGCACGTTTAAATGCAAACAGAATAGGGCCAACAAAACTAGAGCCCTTTAGGAAGGGGCGGGGGGCACAGGCAAGGATCTGTATTCTGTCACTACGGACCAGTTTGACTTTTTCAGAGTTTTCATCTGTGAAATCACGCAGCACATGCTCTAGTTGTGACTGGCTTTCTTCACTCAGCATAATTATTTTGAGATAAACCCATGTTATGTGTGTCCATAGATCATTCCTACCTATGGCTGAGTAATTTTCCATTGGTAAAAGTACCACAGTTACTTTTTACATCCATCTATTATTGGACATTAGGATTGTTTCTATAGTTCAGCTATTTTGAATAAAGCTGCAATGAACGTTTGTGTTCAAGTCTTTGCATGGACGTGGGCTTTCTTTTTCTCTTGGGGAGAAAAAAGGAGTAAGATGGCTGGGTCATATGGTAGGTCTGTGTTTAAGTTTTTAAGAAAATGCCCAAATGTTGTTGAATTTTATATTCCCACCAATGGGCCTGTCATATGGTGGATTACATTGACAGATTTTCTGACACTGAATCAGCCTCACATCCCTGAAGGCTAAACCTCAAGTACTAATGATGTGTAATTATTTTAATATATTGTGGAATTCTATTTGTTAATAGTATATTAAGGACTTTTGCATCTGTATTCATGTGGGATGCTGGTCTGTGGTTCTGTCTGGTTTTAGTATCAGTTAATACTAGCTTCATAAAATGAACTAGGAAGTATTCTCTCCTATTTCAGAACAGAGTGTATAGAATTGGTACTAATTCTTCTTTAAATGTTCAATAGAATTCTCCAGTGAAAAAAACCTGAGCCTGGAGATTCCATTTTGGGGGAATTTTTAAATTACAAATTCTATTTCCTTAATAGTGATGGGGTTTTTCAAATGATTTATTTCCTATCAGGTGATTTGTGGTAGTTTGTGCTTTTCAAGGAATTAGTACATTCCAACTAAGTTATCAAACTAATTTATGTATAGTTATTTATTTTTTTAAGATTTTATTTATTTGACAGAGAGAGACAGAGAGGGAACACAAGCAGGGGAAATGGGAGAGGGAGAGCAGGCTTTCCACTGAGCAGGGAGCCCGATGCAGGGCTTGATCCTAGGACCCTGGGATCGTGACCTGAGCTGAAAGCAGACACTTAACAACTGAGCCACCCAGGTGACCTGTACAGTTGTTTATTATAGTAATCTATTATGTTTTTTTATGTCTTCAAGGTCTTTAGTGATATCCCCTATTGATTCCTGATATTGGTAATTTGTGTCTTCCCAACTTTTTTCTTTGTTAGTCTTGAAGGAAGTTTGCCAATTTCTAAATCTTTTTAAGGAAACAGTTTTTTGTCTCATTATTTTTTTCCATTGCTTTTCTGTCTTCAATTTCATTGATTTCTGCTCTGGTCTTTAACCCATCCTTCCTTGTTATTTTGGGTTTATTTTGCCCTTCTTTTTTTCTAGGTCTTGAGATGAGAGCCTAGATATTGATTTGAGACTTTTCTGCTTTTATAATATATGCATTTAGTGCTATCTGTTTACTTTTTAGCACTGCTTTTGCTGTGCTCCATGCATTTTAATATATTTCCATTTTAATTGGTTATTTTAACCATCTACATTTTAAAATGTTAGGATTTAAGTTTGTCTTTTGTGTTGTTTTTATTGTTTCCTTCTTGTATGGTCTTATTACTCATTTCTGTTTTCTTTTTCCTGCTTTTCCTTGGCTTAATGTTATATTTTTAAAAATTCCATTTTATCTATTTTTAAGCATATATCTGTGTGTCTTTTTTTAGTGGTTTTTCTAGGTATTACATAACAGCCTACTGATGTCATCATTTTGCCAATTCGAGTATAGGAACCTTACCTCCTTTACTCCACGTATAGTATAATTTTCTTACACATTTCCTCTTACATATGCTCAGAACCATATAAGTGTTATAATTTTTCCTTCAACCATCAAGCATAATTCAGAAAACTCAAAAGGAAAATGAAATTATGTTTTACTTTTACGATTTTTCTTTCTTCCTTCTTGATGTTCCAAGACTCCTTTTTTAATCACTTCCTTTCTGTTTAGAGAACTTCCAATAGCCATTATTTTAAGGTAGGCTTGATGTCTTGATTTCCCTTTCATTCCTGAAGGATATTTTTTCTGTATATAGAATTCTGGATTGATAGCTCTTTCAGCATTTGAAAAGTGTTGTTCACTTCCTTCTGACATCTGCGGCTTTTGGTGAGAAATCTGCTCTTGTGCAAAAACAAAACAAAACAAACAAAAACTTTTCTTAAAGATAACGTCAATTTCTTCTCACTGCTTTCAGAAATTTTCTTTGTCATTAGTTTTCAGGAGTTTGGTTATGCTTTATCTTGATATGGATTTCTTTGGGCTTATCTGTTTTAGAGTTTTCTCGGCTTCTTGAATCTGTAGACTTATGTCTTTTGCCAAATTTGGCAAGTTTTCAGCCATATGTCTTTGAGTACTTTTCACTTTTACCCTTATTCCCCTCTTCTTCCAGAACTTTGTTGACATAAATATTAGACATTTTTAGTCCCCCGGATCTCTGAAGTTGTGTTCACTTTTCTTCCAGTCTCTTTTCTCTTTGTTGTTCAGACTGGGTCATTTCTATGGTTGCCTTCAAGTTCATGGATTCTTTTCTTTGTCCCCTTCTTTCTACTCATGAATCCACCCACTGTTTTATTTCAGTTGTTATATTTTTCAGTTCAAAGATTTTCATTTGGCTCTTCTTTATACCTTTATTTCTTTTTTTAAAAGATGTATTTATCTGAGAAAGAGAAAGAGAGCAGGGGAAGGGGTAAAGGGAGGGAATCCTCAAGCAGGCTCCACACCCTGCATGGAGCCCAATGTGGGGCTCAATCTCAGGATCCTGAGATCATGACCTGAGCCAAAACCAAGAGTTGGTCACTTAACCAACTGAGCCAGCACCCAAGCACCCCTCTTTTATTTATTTCCTGAGATTTTCTATTTCTTTCTTGAGGCTATGTTTTCATTTTTTTCCAAATGTATTTGTACTTGCTTGTACAAATGCTTGTAAGACATTCTTATGATGGCTTCTTTAAAATTTTAGTCAGATAATGCTAATATCCTTGTCATCTCCACATTAGTGTAGATTTTCCTTTCTCATTAAGTTGAGATTTTCCTAATTCTTGGCATGAATGACTTTTGATTTATAAAATTTTAAAATTTGGGTAAAATGTTATAAGACCTTTAGTTTTATTTAAACCTCTGTAGCTGGCTTCCATAGATTCTGCTCCACCAGGGAGGGTGAAGTACTTCCTGGTTACTGCAAAGTAGGAATAGAGGGTCTAGGTTTTCCACTGGGGACCCATGAAAGTAGGAGCTCCTCATTACTGATGGTGACAGTGGGATTTATGGCTCCCCACTAGGTTTCCTCTGATAACATGTTGGCAGGGTGAGGTGGGAGTATCTTGTTACTCTTCCTCACATGGCCATTATTGACCACATTGAATGCATGGCCTCATTGCTATGGGGTGGTAGTAAAAGTCCTATCTCTCCACTAGACCTCCTCCAACAGCACTCAAACAGGGACTAGGAGAGGCACCTTGTTACTGCAGAAGAGGGTGGAAGTCTAGGCCCACATGGTTTCTCCACTGACACTATGAAGTGTGTGGGAGGTCTCTGTTAATGCCTGGCAAGGATATGAAGAATTGATATTACTTTTTCTTTCAGTGCTTGGTAGAATTCACCAGGGATTCTGTAATGGCTTGGAGATTTCTCTGTGCAAAGACCATTCACTACCAATTCAATTTCTTTAATAGACAAAGAGTACTCAGATTATCTATTACTTCTTGAGTGAGTCTGTAGTATGTCTTTCAAAGAATTTGTCCATTTTATCTAAGTTGCCAAGTTTACTGGCATAAAATTGTTCATAATATTGTCTTACTATTCTTTTACTATTTATAGAATCAGAAGTAATGTCATATCTCTCATTTCTAGTATTTTTAATTTGTATCTTCTCTTTTTTTCCTGATCAGTCTGACTAAAAGTTTATACTTTATTGATCTTCTCAGAGAACTAGACTTTGGTTTTTACTGAAAGTTTGTATTGTTTTTCTTTTCTTCTATTTCATTGATTTCTGCTGTTATTTTATTTCCTATGCATACTTTTGATATAATTTAGTATTTTTTTTTCTAGTCTATTAAAGTGGAAGCTGAGGTTACTTATTTGAAACCGTTATTCTTTTCTGATACAGGCATTTAGTGCTACAAATGTCCCTTGAAGTACTATTTTAATGCTGTCCCATAAATTTTGATATATTGTATTTCCTTTCATTTCTTTTGATATATTATATTTGCTAATTTCCCCCTTTGATTTCTTTTTTGATCCATGGATTATTTAGAAATGTGTTATTTACTTTCCAAATATTTAGGAGTTTTCCAGATAGCTGTTACTGATTTCGACTTTAATTCCACTACAGCCAGAGAATGTTATTTTGTATGAATTGAATCCCTTTAAATTTATTGATAATTCCTTTAGTTCCAGAATATGGTCTATTTTGGTAAATGTTCTGTGTACATTTTCAAAGAATGTATAATCTGCTGTTATTGGTTGAAGTGTTCTATGAATGTCAATTAGGTCAATTAGGTCAATTAGCTATCAAATCAAATTTGATAGTTGACTCTTTTCATGGCAATTTTTATTTAAACTGACATGAAAACCTGAAAAACAAACAGAAAAAACAAAATTCTACCAAATATCTTAAAATATTCCAATAAATGTATTTAAGTTAATAAAATGGAAGAAATTTGATAGGAAAAGATAATAAAATCATAAGAAATTACTGATCTATTACCAAATTAGAGGATCAAAAATGTCAGAGCTGAAGGAGACCTCAGAGATGAGAACAGACATCTTACTTTAGAGCGACTCTGAAACTAAGAGATGTATCCAGTGCAACACACTGAATTTATGTCGACCATGCTTCACCCTGTATTACTGTTTACCTGCTCTACTGTGCAGAAGATGTGGGCATCATCCTGCTGGAAGCGCCGAACTCGAGTCAAGCCACTTAAAGTTCCTGACAATTCATTCCTATGAAGAACTCCAAAATCAGCGAATCTGATAGGCATTTCCCTCCATGATCGTGGACGATGAGCAAACATTAGACTAGAAAAGATGCAACAACACACAGCTTTTACTCAGCACAGAAAAGATTAAGTAATTATCTAAATATTAACAATTACAGTTAAGCCTCAAGATTTGTAAAGACCTTATTCTGGTTCTTAGATCACCAGTTTAAAAAAAAAAAATTCCTCAGGGGTAACTTGGTGCCTCAGTTGGTTAAGCATCCGACTCTTGATTTCGGCTTGGGTCATAATCTCAGGGTTGTAAGACTGAGCCCCAACGTTGGGGCTTAAGATCTCTCTCCCTTTCCTGCTGTTCCTCCCTGTGTTCACTTTCTCTCTTTCTCAAAAAAAAAAAAATCTTCTAGGAATTATTGAACTTACACCACTGCAGCACTCTGAGAAAGAACCCTGTCTATCATCTCTTTCAGAAATTCTGTTCCCTATTCTTATTCACCCAATGAATTTCCATTTACTGTGTACAATTCATTTCAAAGGCTACTTTTTTCCTTTTTAAATATTTTATTTATTTATTTGACAGAGAGAGAGAGAGAGACAGCAAGAGAGAAAACACAAGTAGGGGGAGTGGGAGAGAGAGAAGCGGGCCTCCCGACAAACAGGGGAGCCTGATTCGGGGCTTGATCTCAGGACCCTGGGATCATGACCTGAGCCAAGGCAGACACTTAACGACTGAGCCACCCAGGTGCCCCCCAAAGGCTATTTCTTAAGTGGAGCCCTCCTGGATACTTCCCTAAATGGGGCCTGGTAGTCTCTCCTCAGACTCTGAGATCACCCCAAACATGCCACTAATTTGACACTGAACTTACATTTTCATAATTGATTGTCTACCTATCTGTTTCTGTCCCACTCTGCTCATAAGCTCCCTGAGGAAATGGACTGTGTCTTAATTTCCTTGGCATTTCTAGCACCAAGCACCATAAGCACTCAAGAATTGTTCCCTATTGAATAAAAGACTGCCCTTCTGGGGGAAAAAAAAAAAAAAGACTAAAAAAACCACTCCTGGCTTTCATCCCATCACCATTAATCCACTGTGATCCTACTTCCTTATTCCAAGGTATGAAAATCAAAATTTCATTCCCTACTTTCATTTAGACTTATTTATAATTATAGCTGAAATCACAGACTATAACTTCAAATATTACCTAATAGGAAATTGAGTTAAAAAGTTAACACAGAGAATGCAAGACTCTAGGTTAGGTTCCAACTTGTTTAAAAAGAGAGCAAATGAATGTTTATACACCCATTTTCATAAAATTAAAGGTAAATATATATTTTTTACATGCAGTCATCATAAAGGTGAACTTCTTTTTGTCTTTGCTGAATAGGGCAAAGAATTTTGTTCAGTTTGTTTTGAGGTTTTATACTTACCTTATAAGGCCAATTTACTTGAAACTATGTATGCTGATGATACAAAATTACAACAGTTGGGATATTTTTTGCAGAGACTCATGTCTGTTCACATCCTATTGTGAAGTACGCTTGTCTTAAAGGGTTGAATTTGCACACCAGCTTTATGATAACTACATTGTTTCAAAAAATCTGAGACAAGACTGTAAGATGTATCACTCTATTATGTACCACTAGAAAGGAAAATAACCATGAAGATATGACATAAAGCTAAGATGCCCCAATTACATGATGCATTCTAATTTCAGGGATGTTGAAATGTCAGAGAGTGGGTGGGAAGGTATCTTAGAATCAGTGAAATCCAGTAACCCACTGATTTTGACTTCACCAGTCTTTTCAGTATATAAGAACTAAATGTTCTGCAAATAGGTATATTTGAAGTGTATTACTCTTGCAAAACCAAATATAATAATTTTAATAAAATTGATATATAATTCCATCTCTAAGAGGCACAAAAACTAAATGGTTTCCAGCTAACATTCCACACCTGCCCAAGATCAAACACATCTTAAAGAGTAAATGCATTCCCCTGAGTGAAAGAACTTTGTAAAGATGACTGGTATCCACCACTCCTCAGATTAAAGGAATCTGTTAACTCCAAAAAAGCAAACTAGTATTATTAAGAGCTGTGATGAGGTGTGCTATGTGCTCTCATGCAACAAAGATCTGCTTCACTTTTCATACTCACCAGTGCCCTGGACAGTTCATGGGCTTTAGGGCAAACGTATCCTTTTCAATATCAAAGGTAAACATGTTCTCGCTATAATGCTGCCAGTGACCTGAGGTCTCCCATAGTTTGCTGTTGTACATGTTGGGAGAGAGCACTTCTGTGAAGTTACGTCGGTGATATTCCTCCTTTAAGATAAACATATTTAATGCTAAAATGTGGCATGACAGGTCACAAGTCCATGCAAAGTAACACTAGGAGTGAATATTTCTTAATTTGGGATTACATTTTATGTTAATTTGTAGTTAATGTGCCCTCAGTTTTAGGTGTGCAGCTTTCTGGATCATGAAAGAAAGATTAATGTACTCTCAGTCTCATTTTCACATTAAGTATCTTTATTTTATACTATATAATAATATATAGTATATATAATCTTAATTTTTGAAAATTAGTAATTGAAATTATATATATGTCATATATAATATTATGTATGTTATTACATATTATTATGTATATATAAACTTTCTATAACTACAAATTCCAAAATCCTTATACATTCTAGATAAACAGCAGGTATTTTTCTATTACTTAAGAGGCAGAATCACTTTATAACTTGATAAGCGTGAATGCTATGTTGCATGCAAATTTAGTTTTGATCTATTTAGTCTTAAACAGAAATGAAGCTGAGAATTGTAATTTATAACACATTAAGTGGTTGGTATCCATAAAGTCATAAGCTGTCTTCTCTTCCTCCCTACCTACCAACAGCATCCCCAGCTCAATCACTCAGGACAGGAAAAGAGAGTCTTTCAACCAAAGTTCTTAGTTTATGTAAACTTTTTTTTCTTCAAGGTATCAATCATGATCTCTGTTGCTGATTTCTTAGGTTCTCACCATTTGTCAATTACTTAAGGGATGTCTGGCACAGATCTAGACCAGCATATTTTAATGAAGTAGAAAAATTTTTTCTTACAGTTAAAAAAGTATAAAACATAATATTTTAAAATAACAAACAACACTTGTTTCATATCAATTAAAAGGACTCCATTGTTACTCTTCAGCAGAGTAACTTTTCGGTCCGGTTGTGGATAGCTGGGTCTCAGCCATTCAGTAAGCTGCTTTACCTATTATTCATTTTTACTAAATTAGAAAGTCTTAACAAAATAATAGATCATTACAAAGGACAGCAATTATTCCGTGACTATGTCAGATGCCTCTATATGTTCAGATTAAACCAGGTCCTAAAAATTGAAGAATTTTTTTTGTGTTTGCTTTTTTGTTTTGACTAGAGACTATTTTAAAGCTAGGCTCAGGAGCTAATCAATGGACTTTTAACCCACTCTGGATAATATTGCTAATCATGTTTACAATTTATGTGTTTGGGAATGATTTTAAAGTATGCCCTATGACGAGAAATGTCATTATGCTTACAGCTTATTTTCTGCAGTTTTGCTACTATAAATAAGGTTTCTGTGGACATTCAGATACAAGTCTCTGTATGTGCATGTTTTTGTTTTTCTTAAGTAAATAACTAGGAGTGGAATTGATAGGTCACATGGTAAGCATATGTTTAATTGTATAAGAAACTGCCAAACTGTTTTACAAAGCAGCATTACCATTTTGCATTTCCACCAATGCGAGTTAGAATTTCTCCACATTCTTGCCAATCTCTGGTATTTTCAGGTTTGTTGTTGTTGTTGTTGTTGTTGTTGTTGTTTTGCCACGGGGTGTGGTGGGGGCATAGTCTGGTGGACATGGAGCTTACTGCAGCTTTAACTTTCATTTCTTTCTTTTTTTTTTTGAAAGAGAGAGAGAGAGACAACAAGCAGGGGTAAGGGGAGAGGGAGAGAGAGAACCTTAAGCAGGTTCCACACCCAGTGCAGAGCCCGATGTGGGGTTCAGTCTCTACAACCCTCAGATCATGACCTGAGCCAAAATCAAGAGTTGGATGCTTAGCTGACTGAGCCACATAGATATTTCCACTCAAAAGATTGTCTAGGGATAAACTGATGAAAGATGTGCAAGACCTCTAAAATAGAAGTTATAAAATACTGCTGAGGGAAAAGAAAGAACTAAATGAACTGACAAAATTTCCATGTCCAGAGATTGGAAAACTCAATGTGGTCAAGGTGTCAATTATCTGCAAATTAACCTATAGAATGAATGTAATTCCAATCAAAATCCCAGCAGTTATTTTTTTAGGAAATGAAAAGGATGATATAAAATTCATATGGAAGCACAAAGAATCTAGAATAGCCAAAATGATCCTGAATAAAAATTTAATTAAACTACTGATATTAAGACAATATATACTTACAGTAAGTTATGGTAATCAAAGCAATGTGGTGTTAATGCAAGGACAGACAACAAAGGGACCAAAAGAACAGAGTGAATATCCAGAAATATATAATGGCTTAGGACAAAAGATTCTACTGCAGTAGTAAATGGTACTGAAGCCACTGGATAAACCTGTGAATAAAAATCAACCTTGACCCCTCTTCCCCAAGACCTAAAAATGAATTCAAGCTAGACCACAGCCTTGACTCTGAAGACAAATACAATCAAGCTTCTAGAGTAGAAAAAAGAAGACTGTTTTCATGACTCTGAAATCGGCAAAGATTCCTTAAAGAGGGCATGAAAAGCCCTAACCAGAAAAGAAAAGAATAATATACCAGACTTTGTTAAACATGAGAACTGTTGGCTAAAAGACATCATTAAGAAAGTGAATCAATAAGCCACAGCTTGAAAAAACACACTCACAATATACACATTCAGCAAATGATGCATATCAGAACAAAGAAAGAGCCCCTAAAAATCAGTAATAAAAGGACAACTCAGTTTTTTAGGATGGGGAAAAGACTTAAACAGGAACTTCACGAAAGAGGATATCCAAATGACCAACAAACATATGGAAAGGCTGTCATATCATTACTCATCAGGGAAATGCAGGATAATACCATGGTACCTCCCCAAACGACAAACTGATAAATACCAAATGTTGAGGAGCATGTAGAGTAACTGGAACGCTCATACATTTCTGGAAGGAACAGTATATGGGTCAACCACTAAAAACTATTCAATATTTTCTTAAATTAGTCATTACCATCCTATGACCTAGCAATTCCACTCCTGGTATATTCCCAGGAGAAGTGAGTACCTGTGTCCACCAAAAGACAGGTACAAAAACATTGGTAACATCTTCGTGTACAATAGCTCCAAAGTGGAAACAATGTAAATGTGAATGTATGCCTACAGGAGAACAAATGAATACCCCATTATATAGCCTCAAACAATAGAAAGAAAATTATACACAAAATTTGGATGAATCTCAGACATTAAGTGGAACAAAAGAAGCCAGAAACACAATAGCTAATATTGTATGAAGTTTACGACAAGGCACAACTGATCTACAGTTAAGAGAAATCAGCAAGATCATCTCAGGTGAGAGGAGGGGAGGCAGGTATTGATTGGGAAGATGCAAGAAGACTCTATGAAAGGATGGAACTGTCCTAGGGGCACCTGGGTGAAATCAACTCTTGATTTCAGTTCAGGTCATGATCTCAGGATCGTGGGATCAAGCCCTGTGCTGGGCTCCACACTGAGCTGGGAGTCTGCTGGTCCTTCTCCATGTGTTCCTCCCCTGCTCTCTCTGTGTCTCTCTTCCTCTCAAATAAATAAGTAAATAAAATATTTTTTTTTTAAAAAGGATGGAACTGTTCTATGTCTTGATTTAGGGGTGATTGTATAGATGCACACATGTGTGAAAATTTCTTATGCTGTAAGCTTCATATTTATGCATTTTAACAAATGTAACTTGAACTCACCCAGCAATTCTGGCATCAGCCTCCACCTGAGTGCAGTCATACAAGGAACTCAATGTAGAACCACCTTGATAAGCCTAACACTTAAACCATTAGAGATAATAATTTAAAAAAAAAATGGGGACACGTGGGTGGCTCAGTTGGTTAAGTGTCTGCCTTCAGCTCAGGTCATGATCCTAGGGTCCTGGGATTAAGTCCCGCATCAGGCTCCCTGCTCCTCGGGAATCCTCCCTCTCCCTCCCCCACTCCCCCTGCTAGTGTTCCATCTCTCACTGTGTCTCTCTCTGTCAAATAAATAAATAAAATCTTTAAAGAAAAGAAAGGAAAGGAAAGGAAAAGGCCAAGGCCATTTTAAGTAACTAAGCTTTAGGACATTCTTTATGCTTTAATAGACAACCAGAACAGAATTTGCACCAGATGTGGGTGCTGCTATAATAGAAACCTAAAATATGCAGCCTTGACTTTGAAGCCAGATGGTGGGTGGGAGCTGGAAGGCTAGAGACTCTCTGTGAGGACTTGGAAGGACAGTGAGGAAAATACATTGGAGGATGAAGAAAAGGGACTCTTGTTACGTGGTGCCAGAAAACGGGTAACACTATCACCTGAGTCATGAAAAACAGAAAAACTACCCAAAGAATTCATGGACTATAGCTAGGATGTGTCTAGGCAGAAAGAAGAAAGGGACAACTGACTTCTTATGGCTGCCTATGACAAAATATAAGAGAGACGTAAACTAAATAGGGTACTATTGCGATTTTGAGAGGGAGTATCAAAAATGCCAGGACCTGTTGGATTCAAAAATGAAACTATTGCATCCTTAGACTCTCCAGCAAAAGACTCACAAGGTAAGAAAGGCTTGTCACCACCAATAAAGCAGGGCCTAGGGTAAAGCTCTTGAGGGTATGGCTATGTGTCACTTGTGAAGACCTCAGAATGATCCACGTGACAGCTGGTTAAGTCTTCTGAGAGTCTTAAGACTGTGCTTGGTAGACTCTGTCACCTAGACAGTAAGACTTTAAAAATTTTTTTTATTTTAAGATTTGTTTTGAGAGAGAGAGTGCATATGAGCTGGAGGCGAAGGGAGAGAGAATCCAAAGCAGACTCTGCACTGACGCCAGAGCCCACACTGGGTGCTCTGCTCAGCGGGGAGCCTGCATCCCTCTTTCTCTCTGCCTGCCTCTCTGCCTATGGGTGATCTCTGTCTGTCAAATAAATAAATAAAATCTTTAAAAAAAAAAAAGAATCTTAAGTGTACTGTCTCACATTAACCTCACAGGAAGGCTTAGGTAGAGAACGATCTGGCTCATGAAGAGACACGAGTGTGATTTTCACCTAAGTGTTGACTATAATTGTATATAAGAGATCTCATGAAGCTTTTAAAGGAATTGTACTGGCGTAGACTAAAAGGGACAGAGATAGCACACAATGAGATGAGGACTTGGAACCCCTAAATGCCTACCAAAAGAAACAGATTGAGAATATTGAGAAAGCTACACCGAGGTCTACATGGGCTATTTCTCATGGTAAAGGAAGGATGATGCAAAGGTCAGAACCACAACCCACGCAGAGACAAAAGTCCTAACCAAAGTGCATTTTCCGACCAGGGAGAAAGAACGAGTACATTGTCAGGATTTCTGCAGATCGGTGACTACTACTCTTCCCCAACCCTTTTTGAATGGCAGTATGTACTGCATCCTATTTGTCTGTCATTATTTTGTAATGTGGCCGGGGGGGTGGTGGCCCACAGATAACTTTTCCCTTTAGTTCACAGATCTCACAATGAGCAGGACTGCACTTGGTGATCTGTACTTTGCTCCTGAGGAGCCTCATCTGCACCTAGACCTGATTCAGATGACATATTATTAGATGTTGGGCCAACACAGTAATTGGATGAGATCTGGAACAGTTTGCTACCCAGTAGAACACATTTGAAGAGCAGAATTGACTCTCCTCCAGGCTTTCAGAGCTGAAGAGACCAGACTGTCAGGTCTGGAGACCACAGGGTCATGCCCTAGAAATATGGATGAAGAAGAGATAGACCGTGTCTTATCAAAATGAAAGCCCAGCCCTAACTCATTCAATCTTTAACTGGATCAAGCAATTAGCCTTCAGTCTTGGCAGGAGGTAAATGCTCTCGTGGGAGATGACATTATCTACAGCCTTTGAAGTTCTTTTTATATACAGTATTTAGATATAATGAAAAATTACTAAATATGGGAAAAGGCAAGACCATATAGAAGAGAAAAAATTAAAGTTCCTGAATATTTTTGTTTTGTTTGCATATAAAGGCCAATTTCTTCAGACAAAGGTATCTGGAAATTCCGAGTCCTCTGCCTCATCTGTGTCTGCCAAAAATTCTTGCTCCAAAATTCAGGAACCCACTCTTTCCCACAAGTGCCCTTACCTTAGCATAAGAGACAACTGGGGTTGTGAATTTAAATGAATTTACAATTCTGCAGCCCGTACAATCAGGCCTCGGGTCTAATCATCAGCCATGTGTGTCTTGCATCTATAAAGATAAGAGATTCCTTTCAAGCCACCATAGAGGTTTTCTGGTTATTCTCCACACACTCAGCCCCTAACCTCTAGAGTCCAAGGTGCCAGGGACTGTGCTGATTCTCCACAAAGACAGCCCATCCAAAATAGCAGTTGTGATGGCCATCACCACCTGCTCAAATCCCGGATAATCTTCAGTGATTCTTCAAGGCCCTCTGGCCTACCATGGCTTCACCCTGGCCAATCCCTACTGGAAGGTATGTAGCCCAGGTTACAGAGTCCATAGAACTTAGCCTCCAGGGACACAGCATAAGAAGAGAAGGAAGAGAAACGAGACTGGTGAGGTGGACAGAGAATAACCAGCTCACGCCACTAACCTTTTCTCAGGAAGTTACTGAAGAAAGTGCTTCCCCAGATGAGAGGGATAAGGAAGGAAGGGGAAGATGTGGGATAAGGAAAGAGGAGAATGAACATAGTAGAGACGTGAGGGGAGTCGCGAGACTAATGAAGAAAGCAAGTCCTAAAATGTCAGTTGGCAAGAATCCCTGTAGCAAGTTAATTCTAGAACAAGAGGACCATATTTTGAAAATTACTGAGACATTACTTGGATCATCAGAAAACACTTGTAAGGAGTTTTGCAGTTTTGAGGAAAAGTTTGAGGATGAATTAGTGATAAGAACTAACTAAGTTAGTGATATAAAACTGAGTAAGTGAAAATTTTAGATAATTATTAATTATGGGAAAGACAAAAACACATGCAAAAAAGGAAACATAATCCTAATAGTCTACATGGATCGCCTCTGAACAGAATCTATAGTTCAAATGATATAAACTGAAGACTTTCTAATCTATAAACTTTATTACATGAAGGTATTTTACACAGTTGTCTTTACTCTTGGCTCTGGATGGAGGTGCCAAGTCACCTGGGAGTCACACCATGGACAATGGAGAGGGACCATGGACCATATTTTGAGAAGCAACCCTTCATCATTTAGCATTGTGTACCAGTTAGACACTTCCTCCTTTCCTCTCCTTCACAGGGAGTTCCATGCTTAGCCTAATAATGCTTATCTCTGTATTGTTCATGTTCTAGAAACTTCTGTGGATGGGAGGTGTACTTATTGAAATCCCAAGAATGCATTTTATCAGGGAATATAGAATTTATCTCAATTTTTTCTGAGGCTCAACCCAGTATTTCTCTTCTAGGTTCAAAACTCTTATTAATATTACCAAACTAAAGTTAATGAAAATGTTTGGCCATCTTACTATGAAAGAAAATAGTAAAATGTAAAATGGGGCTGGGTAAGAAAAACATTTTAAAAGTTAACTTACTCGTATGAAATCCATAAGTGTATTATAAATGAAGGCTCCTCTGGGAAGAAAAAAGCAGCTTCCAGGACTCAAATCATGGAAAAAGAACAGTTCTTGTTCCTAGATTAAAACAATAAATGCATCTCAAATCTCACTGCCATTGATCAATATTCACTATATGTATGTGACATGCTAGGAATGACTCAGTTACAATTTCCATCTTCTAATGACTGACTTCCCGAGGCCCCCTCAATACTTACCTCTATGTACTAGCGCATATAAAATCACAATTTGTATTTATGGTTAGTTAGCTTTTCATTCACCTTTTATTTACTGCTGATTTCTGACTGGGCACCTGGGAGCGTGGACCTCGTGGGCAGAGAACGTGGCACAAAGTTCAGAAAAGATCACCTTGGCAGGTGGGCTCTACCTGGTGGGGATCATCATCATGGCTGTCACCACTGAACACCTGCCCCATGCTGCCACCACCATCCAGCGTCTGTCCTTGCATCAGCCCTGCAAGGGCTTCCAAGGAAGAGACGGGCACAGGGAGTCCCGGAAGCAAATACCCAAGCCTCCACATAACATAGCTCCTAAATGGCCCGATGGAGACTGAAACCCAGGTCTGCCTGCTCTCAAATCTCCTCATCTTTCTGACCTGTTCCCCAAATACAAAGTATGTTATCAAGGACATACAACTTTTTAAAAACACTATTTTTGTTTCATGGTAAGAATGAGAGAAGGGTGTAATTTCTAAATTTAACAGAAGACAAGGGAAGGCAAGAGGTGAGAAGACATTTGGGAGATTAGCATGCAAGAACCCAACAGCAAACTCAACTCAGAGTGCTAGCAAAAACAGAAGACTGCACAAGAGAAGAAGAGACACCGAAAAACTTAATCAGAGGCCAACAAAGAAAATCCCCATCCTGCTGGTGGCCAGGACACGCAGGTACCTTTCCAATCTTCCTGTGATCTCGGTTCTTGGCTTCCTCTTGGAACTTTTCCCAGGTCTTCATCATCTTGTTATCAGGGAATGAGATCCCGTAGATCCTCTGCAGTGTTTCCATTTTGGGATTTCCCTCCCAATATGTTGAGGAATTCTACACATCCAACAGGATTTAGGTAAGCACACCAAACATTTGGTGATAAATAAACCTGCTTTTAAACATGTGCATAATTTTCTGTGATATCACCAAGGTAGCTTTACTTAAAGATGACTTTTATTACCCCTGGAAAGACTTTGAAATGGAGTCTAATTAAACCTGCCCAGCCCAAATCCATCAGAAAATGATTGAGTCTGCTGTGGATTGTGGGAATGGGAAGTGTGGGAGAAGGGGAAGACGGGCAAGGCCAAGAGTAATTGCACCACCGACGAGAGGAGCAGCAGAGGAAGGGGGACGTGATGATCCAGTCAAGTGTTCTTGTTCACTTACGGTGATTTGAGAAAACAATATCTTCACATCTATAAATCTATATATCTTAACTATCTTATGTCTATATATCTTAACTATCTATATGCAGAACAGTATCTTAACATACCATACGAAAAAGAAAGGCAAAGTAAGGTTAGATAATAAAAAGTTAACAGCTACTGGGGCGCCTGGGTGGCTCAGTGGGTTAAAGCCTCTGCCTTCGGCTCGGGTCATGATCCCAGGGTCCTGGGATCGAGCCCCGCATCGGGCTCTCGGCTCAGCGGGGAGCCTGCTTCCTCCTCTCTCTCTCTGCCTGCCTCTCTGCCTACTGGTGATCTCTGTCTGTCAAATAAATAAATAAAATTAAAAAAAAAAAGTTAACAGCTACTTGTAAGGTACTAATTGTCAAAAATGTAAAAAATTATAGTATTTTTAGAAGTTTATGTAAAAAAATAATAATGAAGTATTTTACAATACTGCAATGCTCAGATTATAAAAGATATGACTGAAATTCCTCATTATCCGGGTCATCTCAAGTTTGCTGTATTAAACAAAAATCCTTACCTTGAAAATTTTTATGGTTTTAATTTTTCCAGTGTGTCTTACATGGGGGCCTTTGCAGAGGTCAATTAGTGGACCACACCTATAATGAAATATTTCAGACATGCCCAGGTAACAGTTTCAGCTTTACGGATCATTCATTACAAACTGTGTTTTCATGTTTAAAGTGAAGGATCTCACTTATTTATACATCTTCGGTCGATTTTTAATTTGGGGACAACTTAAAATAAAATTAATTTTTAATTTAGGATAAAGAGGCAATTTATCTAGACTTAGATCCCAGTATTCCCTTCTCTGCTCAAATTCAAAAGTTACAAGGCTCCTAGGTAGCTTAGTTGGTTAAGCAACTGCCTTCGTCTCAGGTCATGATTCCGGAGTCCAGCTATGGAGTCCTGCATCTGGCTCCCAGCTCCACAGGGAGTCAGCTTCTCCTCTGACCTTCTCCCCTTTCACGCTCTCTCTCACTGTCTATCTCTCAAATAAGTAAATACAATTTTTTTAAAAAATTCAAAAGTTACATAATCTTCTGAAAGTAACTATACATAAAGACCCCGCTTTTCAATGTCATATCCCAAGGCTCTTAAAAACCTTCCACTTTCATAAAATCAAAAAGTCATTCCCCTGCTCTACACTAACTTTCAAAACCAAAATTAGCTGCAATTTATACAAAATGCACTAACTTGATACCTCACTCTAAAAATAAACTTCACCAAACCCACAGAAGGTACCCCAACAAGAGTGAACCATGATGCAGACTCTGGGCTCTCTGTGACTGTGACGTGTCCATCATATGAAGGTCCATCACTTGTAACTAATGTGTCAGTTTGTGGGGGGTGTTGAGAGTGGGTGAGGCTGTGCATGTGTGAGGGAGGGGTACAGGAGAAATTGCTGTGCCTTCTCCATTTTGCTGTGGACCTAAACCTGTTCTTAAAAATCAGGTCTGGGGTGCCTGGGTGGCTCAGTCGATGAAGCCTCTGCCTTCGGCTCAGGTCATGATCCGAGGGTCCTGGGATTGAGCCCTGCATCAGGCTCCCTGCTCAGCGGGGAGTCTGCTTTTCCCTCCCTCCCTCCCTCTGCTCCTCTCCCCTGCATGTGTGTGCACTCTCTCTCCGTCTCTCTCAAATAAATAAATAAAACCTTTTAAAAAAAATCAGAACTTTCTTACACTGTTGGTGGGAATGCAAGTTGGTACAGCCACTTTGGAAAACAGTGTGGCAATTTCTTAAGAAATTAAAAATAGAGCTTCCCTATGACCCTGAATGGCACTACTGGGTATTCACCCCAAAGATACAGATGTAGTGAAAAGAAGGGCCATCTGTACCCCAATGTTCATAGTAGCAATGGCCATAGTCGCCAAACTGTGGAAAGAACCAAGATGCCCTTCAACGGACGAATGGATAAGGAAGATGTGGTCCATATACACTATGGAGTATTATGCCTCCATCAGAAAGGATGAATACCCAACTTTTGTAGTAACATGGACGGGACTGGAAGAGATTATGCTGAGTGAAATAAGTCAAGCAGAGAGAGTCCGTTATCATATGGTTTCACTTACTTGTGGAGCATAAGAAATAACATGGAGGACATGGGGAGATGGAGAGGAGAAGGGAGTTGGGGGAAATTGGAGAGGGGAGGTGAACCATGAGAGACTATGGACTCTGAAAAACAATCTGAGGGTTTTGGGGGAGGTGGGGGATGGGTGAGCCTGGTGGTGGGTATTAAGGAGGGCACGTATTGCATGGAGCACTGGGTGTGGTGCAAAAACAATGAATACTGTTAAGCTGAAAAGAAATTAAAACAAAAACAAAAACAAAAACAAAAAAAACCCACTTGGTGGCGCTCCTGGGTAGCTCAGTTAGTTAATTGTCAGACTCCTGATTTTGGCTCGGGTCATGATCTCAGGGCCGAGCGATCAAGCCCAGCATCATGTGCTGGGCATGGAACCTACTTAAGATCCTCTCTCTCCCTCTGTCCCCTCCTCACTGGCGGTGTATGCCCTCTCTCTCTCTTTCAAAAACAAAACACAACAAACAAACAAAAAAACGCACCTAATACTGTTGCTGGGAATTCACTTGTACCTCTAACAAACAAGGACCCCCAAACCTTAATAAGCAGACTTTTTTCCCAAGAACAGAAACATTTAAAATACAAATGACACAGTATTTATACATCTGTATAACAGTCAGAGGAGAGGTCCTTAAAAATCAATTAATTTAAGGAAAATTTAATAAAGAAAGTGAGTTGTTCCTTAACTACTGTAACCAATTTTAAATATTTTTTAAAGTTCACTGCTTAAAAGGTTAAAAATAACAATGAATACATAGAAGGACTCGTTTATTCACCAAAATGAAATAAGCTTTAAAGATGAAAATATCATTTCTTTGAATGACCAGGCTGTATTGTTCTCTGCTCAAAATGGAAGTAGTAAACCAACATTCAGAGGAATGGAAGGAATGCCTAATTAGCACGAAAGACTTCAATACTCTAATCTTTAAATAACCTTATAGAAAGAAAAGCAAAAATTCCAAAAAAAAAAATTCCAAAAATTAAACTGGCAGAATAAGAAGTGCCAGTGTTGACCTAAGTAAGGCTCAAAGAAATAACCAAAAAGGCTCAAGTATTAGAAGCCAGAATTTTAAAACAGCATATCTTTTCTATTTCTTCGTGTATCTTTAAGCTTTAAAATGCATATTCTAACATTAATTTGAATTACAGGTAATGAATAATAAAACCTTATCAGGTTATTGGAGAATGGAAAAAATAAGGCAAGCAGGTATCTATCCTGTTTCAATGTCAAAGGACAGTGAGTTCATATTATAATGCAAGAAATGCCCTGTGCATAGCTTTGCTTAGAGGCGAGATGACTTGACTTACAGCACAATTAATCCCCAGAACCATAAACACTTGACTGTGGAAAGTAAATGCCCTTAGGAGGATAGCTGTGATTTCAATTACATAGACATCAGATCTTCTTCTTTTTTTTTTTAATCATTTTTTTAATTTATTTTCAGCATAACAGTATTCATTGTTTTTGTACCACACCCAGTGCTCCATGCAATCCGCGCCCTCTCTAATACCCACCACTTGGTCCCCCCAACCTCGCAGCCCCCTCACCTCTTCAAACCCTTCAGATTGTTTTTCAGAGTCCATAGTCTCTCATCGTTCACCTCCCCTTCCAATTTCCCCCAACTCCCTTCCCCTAACTCCCCATGTCCTCCATGCTATTTGTTGTGCTCCACAAAGAAGTGAAACCATATGATAATGACATCAGATCTTCTAAGATGGGACCATGAAGGTCACAGAAGCAGCCAGCCGGCCAGAGCACACAGACATGGAGGACAGCAATTACCTGTCAGGGAGCTTTAAAAAAATGCATGAATAAAAAAGGGGCTCAGAGGTTAAAGGAACAGAACTAAGTCATGTGGTACTGACTTCACTTGCCTCTTCCTACTATTTGATTTGCCTTTGGTTCCCGAAACACATTGTCTTTCATTATGTTTCATCACGAACATCCGGCTAATGCATGAAAATTAATGCTCTTGGACTCCAGAAAACGGGGAGTGTGGTGAGAGGCAGAAAAATCACTGTGGAATAAAGATGGCCTCAACAACTCTCACTGCCACATTAATAAAAATATGGGAGGACAAAACAAAATTCCCTTCCTTAACAGCCCCCACTAAAACGTAAGGCACTGGGCAAACACAGTCTCACCCATGGGGGGAAAGGTGCCATCACCACTAACGTCCAGGAAACAAAAATTCAGGGTTTAGCAACAGCCTGATAAATACAAACGAAGAGGGAGTAATTTCCCTTTGCAGATAACATTTTGGAGTCCCAAACCCAAGTAGTACATCAACCATGAGAATTTACAAATACACCATCCACCCGAAGACCAACTGCTTCTACTTCTCACACCTTCAAGCTTACCACGAGCAATGCTTAAAAATGCTTTACCTGTAAACTGTCGTAGTTGGCGTGTTCACTTTCTCATTCAGGATGCGGCACTTAAATTTATTGTACTACAAAGAAAAATATATTTGCATATTATTATGTAAAATATTTAAGTGGGAAGAAAAACTTTTACTTTCTTCAACAGACACTGAATGGCTGTCTACTGTGTTCTAGCTGCTGAGACCCGGGAAATACCATGAGCTCACAGCTGAGAGCGGTAGTGTCCAAACCAGGAGCTACGAGCCCGAGTGGCTACAGGGCACTCGCAACGGAACCAGTCTGAAATGAGATGAGCTTAAGCGCGAAACACAAGGGATTTCTTACCGTGAAAGACAGGATGTAAAATAACTTATTAAGTACTTTGATGTCGGTCACAGACTGAAGTGATATTTTTGATATAGTGGGTTAAAAATGTTATAAAAATTAATCCCACCATTCTTTTGCTGTTAGAATGTGGCTACCAGAAAATTTAAGATTACATATGTGGCTCAGATTTGTAGATCACATTACATTTTCATTTTTTTAAATTTTTTACTTAAATTCAATTAGCCAACATATATAGTATATCATTATCACATTATATTTTTATTGAACAGCACTGTTCTAGAAGATTCTGATTTTTTTCATCTCATTTCCAAAATGTATTTAAGTTTTTATTTAAATTTCAGTTAGTAGTTTCAGGTGTACAATATAGTGACTCATCACTTCCATACATAACCCGGTGTTCATCACAGGTGCCCCCCCCTTATCCCCCATCACCTATTTCACCCATCCCCCCACCCACCTCCCCTCTGGTAACCATCAGTTTGTTCTCTATAGTTAAGAGTGTTTCTTGGGTTGCCTCTCTCACTCTCTCTCTCTCTCTCATTTTCCCTTTGCTCATTTGTTTAGTTTCTTAAATTCCACATATGAGTGAAATCATTCATTTGTCTTTCTCTGACTTATTTAGCTCAATCCATGTCTTCCTAGGAAACATTCTATTCTTTTTTATGGGTGAATAATACTCCATTGTAGATTTATAAACCACATCTTCTTTATCTGTTCATCAGCTGATGGATACTTGGGTTGTTTCCATATTTTGGCTATTGTAGATAGTGGTGCTTTAAACACTGGGATGTATGTATCCCTCTGAATTAGTATTTTTGTGTTCTTTGGGTAAACACGTAGTAGTGTGATTGCTGGATCCTAAGGTAGTTCTAGTTTTAATTTTCTGAGGAACCCACATACTGCTTCCCAGAGTGGCTGCGTCAGTTTGCATTCCCACCAACAGGACAACAGGGATCCCCTTTCTCCACATCCTTGCCAACACTTTCTATTTCTTGTGATGTTGATTTTAGCTATTCTGATAGGTGTGAGGTGATACCTCATTGGAGTTTTGATTTGTGTTTCCCTGGTGATGAGTTATGATGAGCATCTTTTCGTGTGTCTATTGGCCATCTGGATGTCTTCTTTGGAAAAATGTCTATCCAGGTCTTTTGCCCATTTTTAATCAGATTACTCTTTTTTGGGGTGCTGTTTGATAAGTTCTTTATATATTTTGTATATTAACTTTCTATCAGATATGCTATCTGCAAATATCTTCTCCCATTCAATAGGCTGCCTTTTATTTTGTTGATTGTTTCCATTGTCATACGGAGCTTTTTATTTTGATGCAGTCCCAATAGTTTATTTTTGCTCTTATATCCCTTACCTCAGGAGAGATAGGTAGAAAGAAGCTGTTACAGCCTCTGTCAAAAAGAATACTGCCTGCGCTCTCCAGGATTTTTATGGTTTTAGGTCTCGCATTCAGGTTAGAAGATTCCAATTTTAACAACATAAAATAAATAAAACTCTGAGGACACGGCTGTTCTATTGCATAAAACAAAAACAAAGTTTATAGAAAATGATCCTATCATTACCTTAAAAACTCAGCAGACACTTTTCCTTTCTTTCCTGCTTTCATCACTACTACCTTTGTGCCAGGTACTTTTTATTAAATGACTATTTAAAGGGGATAACTGTTGAGAGAAAAAAATAGATTTGTATGGCTTAACTTTTATGAAACATGAGTATGTTTCATACTTATATGTTTAAATCAAATCGCTTTTCTTCACAGACATTTAAGTTTAGTCCTTAAGAGTAGCTGCAAAAAGGCAACCCACAGAATAGGAGAAAATAATTACAAATCATGTATTTGATACAGGATTAATATCCAGAATATATAAAGAACTCCTATAATTCAACAACAAACAACAAACAACCCAATTACAAAGTGGGCAAAGGACTGGAATAGACATTTCCCCAAATAAGACACACAACTGGCCAACGGGTCTATGAAAATATGCTTAACATGACTCCTCATCCAAGAAACACAAATCAGCAGCACAATGAGATACCACCTCACACCCATTAGGATGGCTACTACCAACAAAACAGAGGACTACAAGTGCTGACGAGGATGTGGAGAAATTGGAACACTTGGGCACCACTGATGGGAATGTAAAATGATGCGGCTCCTGTGGTGGACATTCTGGTAGTTGGCAGAGAATTTCCATATGATCCAGCAGCTTCTGGGTGTAGACCCCAAAGAACCGAAAGTATGGGCTAGAACAGATATTTGCACAGCCATGTTCACAGAGACACTTTTCACAATAGTCAAAAGGTGGAAACAACCCAAGTGTCCACCAACAGATGAATGAATGAACAAAAAATGCAGTCGATGCATACGACGGAGTATTATTCAGCCTTCAAAAGGAAGGAAATTCTGACCTAGGCTACAACATGGATGAACCTTGAGGACATAACGCTAGTGAAAGAAGGAGGTCACAAAAGGACAAATATTATATGATTCCACTTATACATTCTTAGGGTAGTCAAATCTGTAGAGGCAGAAAAAGGGGAGTTCGTGTTTATTAGGCGTGGGGTTCCAGGTGGAAAAGAGAAAAAAGCTCTGTAGATGGATGGTGGTCATGGTTGCACAATATTAATGTACTTAAAAATGGTTAACATAATAAATTTTTCTAGTTTGCATATTTTGACACACATACACACACACACACACACACACAAAGCTGCAACTTTACCTAGCCCAAACCTGTATCTTAATTCCAGCCCACAGAACTAATAGTCTTACATATTCAAATCACGTGCTTTCTCTGATATGATTTCAAAAATAAAACCAGGGGGCGCCTGGATGGCTCAGTTGGTTAAGCATCCGGCTCTCGATTTCAGCTATGGTCATGATCTCGGGGCTGTGAGACTGAGTCCCCTGTCAGGCTCTAGTCTGGGCTGGGTGCGGAGCCTGCTGAAGATTCTCTCCCTGTGCCTCTGCCTCTCTCCAACCCCATCCCTCACCCCTGCTCACATGTGTGCACACACACTCTCACTCTCTCTCAAAAATAAATAAATAAAAATTAAATTAGATGAGGAATATATTTACATACGTTGGTCAAAATAATATAAAGAGAAAGCAGAAGTGGCATTGAATTTAGCAGTCAGAATATTAATAACACCCAAAATTGATCTCATTTATAAACACACACGTGAAAATTATTCAGCTGGTCCTCCACCTACATATATCTGCATTAAAATGTTCCAGGGGCGCCTGGGTGCCTCAGTGGGTTAAGCCTCTGCTTTGGCTCAGGTCATTATCTCAGGGTCCTGGGATCGAGCCCCACATTGGGCTCTCTGCTCAGCAGGGAGCCTGCTACCCCCTCTCTCTCTGCTTGCCTGTCTGCCTGCTTGTGATCTCTCTCTCTCTGTGTCAAATAAATAAATAAAATCTTTAAAAAAAATAAAATGAAATGTTTGGGACTCAGTAGGGACATATCACATTGGGTGACTAGGGACTACCTCACGGTAGGCTGCCAAACTGTCTGGAACAAGGTGGCAGGCAACACTCAATTATCTGTTTAAAAAAAAAAAAAAAAGCTGTCTGTGTCAACTAATCATTTTTAATATTCCTGGCAAAAGGTTTTCTTATTCTAAAGAGTTTCCTGAAATCACCTTAAACATTTCGAGGAGCACTTCCTTGTTGACTTCCAGTCTTTCGAAAGGCTGCTTTTCTTTGATGATGGTCTTACAGATATCCTCCAAGGCTGACAGTTCCGTGCTGGACACTGCCCTAAAAAGAAGAGCAAGGGAGGGTCAACACAGATTTCTCAGACGTCCTGCGATGTCCTTTCTGTGGACCGTTGTCACTTAGCAACACGCTGTCTGCACTGAGGAATTCTGTGTTTTACTGCACCAGGCCTTCAGAGAGTTAGACGTCCACAGGCACAAAAGATCTACTCATTGCTCAAAGAAGAATCCTGAGGGAGGCCTCCGGCAGAGGAAATGATTTGCCCACAGTTCTCCGCAATTTGAAAAGCCCAGTTAGGATCCTCCTGGGTTAGAGTGTAAGCTCCTTTGAGGCCTGTTTTTCGTGCGGTCTAGCTTGTACTTCATGCATCGACACTTTTGTTCAAAAGAGCTGTAGTAAGTGCCCACAAATCCCCGCCTTCAGTGACTACAGAATCAGGGCTGGGGACAGATCTGTGGGTGTGAGCTGCAGTGTCCAGTCTGGCACTCGCAGGGAATGGGCCTCTGGGAGCCAGAGGCTGACCCCCTTCACCTATTCCCTGGTTTACTCTCACTCCCCTTCACCCATGCCGGCTTCCTTGCCTTTCCTCAAACAAGCCAGGCATAGGCCCACACCAGGGAGGTTCCAGAGGCCTAGAATGTTCTTCCCCCAAATGTCCATAAATACACCCCCCCCCCCCCCCCCCCCACCAGCCTCAGAACTTGCTCCCTTCCTCCGTCTGGGTCCCTGCTTCAGCACCACTTTCCCCCTTCCTGACCACGTGTCATGGCACACACCTCCCCCTACCTGGCTTCTTTTCCTCCCTACCACTCATCACCACCTGAGAGTAGATGGCTGTTAGTTTGTTTCTCGGTAAGCTAACCTGACTGTGAGCTCCACGGGAACAGACTAATCTGTTCCCTGCTGCATCACCAGCACCAAGCACAGAGCACAAGATAGGCGGTCCGAAAATCTTGTTGAATGAGTACTGGGTGCTCAGTGCGGTGGTGAAAGTTAAGGACAAAATGTACCAAAGTCATCCAGCAAGAGACATCATGGGTCTAAATGAGGCAGAAGTACGAAGGAAGAGGGGAGGGTGGGAGAACTATTTAGGAGATAGAACTGGAAGAACTGGATTGAAGGAGGGACAGAAATGGGAAGGGCCTAGGGTTTCACCTTTGGCATCTAGTCCTTAGGAGCCATGGGGATACAGCTGGTGGGCTGGGGCTGGGCCTGTGGCTAGTGATTTCAAGCACAGACCTACCGAAGATGAGGCCTCTGTGTCTACTCTGCCCGGTACTTATCTGAGCGAGATGTCTGGCCAAAGTGGGTAGCACCCTTCATTATCATGGAGCGGAAACTGAACCGACCGCTCTCTGGGGATTACATTTGGGATTCTGTTCTTAAGTTAGTACTAGGCTCTGGCAGGTCTTATGTGAGATAAATGGTATATCACTTCCTCCTGGGGAGAAGAAAGAAAGTTGGAGAAGCTGCTCTGGAATCTAAACTCATAAAAAAATAATTTTCCAACATACCCAGTCTATACTCAAGTTACAGAACATAGACACATTCACTAAATTAATATGTAACCATGATACACGCACGCCTTCAGAAGTGGCTCTGCGGTGGTGTTACCTGTCTCCGATGAACATGTCATAATAAAATCCATTTTCAATGGGTGGACCATAGCACAGGTGGCCTCCATAGTAGAGCTCCATGGCCTCCCCAAGGACGTGAGCACTGGAGTGCCAGTACACCTGCGGGGAACACAGAGGCCAGTAGCTATTGCAATGACGGCATGGAAAACTGTCAGCCCCATCACACAAGGAGGCAAGTGGATCCCCTTTAAGGGGACAAATGCCAAGACACAGAGCAACATCAGTCTGAAAAGAAACACTTCAATGCGGGGCATCTGGGTGGCTCAGTCAGTGAAGCGACTGCCTTTGGCTCAGGTCATGATCCCAGAGTGCTGGGATCAAGCCCCACATCGGGCTCCCTGCTCAGTGGGGCTCTTGCTTCTCCCTCTCCCTCTGCTGCTCTGCCTGCTTGTGCTCTTGCCAAATAAGTAAAGAAAAATCTTAAAAAAAAAAAAAAAAAGAAAAGAAAAGAAAAAGAAACGCTTTAATGCCCCTTTTGAAGAGAACACTTTCTGAGAGCTCCTGGCAATTACACCAGGACCACAAGCTGGGTTCTAGTGTGAACTGCTGTCCTGAGTCGCAGCTGTAAGCACAGGTCTGAAACCACTTCTGGGTGTCTTCACTCGCAGAGCGGTCGTGAAAGCCTCCACCACCCGCTTGGGACGCTGAGCGGAGTAGCCACCCAGTGTGGAGTTCAGCCCAGTGTGGAGGGAGGCAAGGAGTGACAGACACCAGTCTCCTTCCTTTTCTGTCCAGGGACAGCCTCTAAGCTGAATGCAGGGACCAGAGTAGCTTGCGTCTACACGGCGGTCTTCCCAGGTTGAATGGATTTTGACAAGATTGCTCTAGAGGGAGACAAGTGTGGCCTGGGAATGCTGGCTGGCTGCCTGAGAGCCCCAGGCAGCCCACACATGAATTCTTTTACCACTGTTTATGGGCTGCTCTACAGGTCTACAAAGTCAGAAAGTTGGGTTTTGAATCTGGTTTTGAATGCCCAAGGAATGGATGGCTTATGGATAAACTAAAGCTAACCGAAGTCATCAAATAGAGGTGCCAAAGAAGCAAGACAGTGGAGTTCCCTGGCAGCCCCTCCTTTCCCTTATTAAATAGGAAACATTACAATGAGAAAGCTGTTTGACAAATAAAATTGATCGAAACGGAGGTATCTGGCTGGCTGGGCAGGCTAAGTGCAATCCCAACCCGCAGCCTTAGGCTGGGATAGGATCTGCAAACAGCCCCAGAGTGTCAGTCCCTGGGCACAGCCCCTTTGCTCCGGATGGTGCTGGGAGGGCAGAGTAACTGTCAACATGAACCCAAGTCTCTTCTTTGGTGAATTGTCCACACCTAGATATTTGTTGAGCCGAATACTGAGTTAGGTGCTGGGGATACAACAGTGAAAGAAAAGGAGTCACCACCCTCATGCAGTTTGCAGCACAGTGTGGGAGAGATAAGCATCAACAAACTAGGTCAAGAGCATAATCACAAGGCGAGAAGAGCATTTAAGGGGAGATGGACAGGGCACTGTTGAAAGTTAAAAGACTAACAGTGAAGGCGCTGCCTGCACAGGGAGTCGGGAAGGCCTACGTGGCTAACATGTAAGGGACAAAGCAGGGTAGCCTGAGAAAGGCTGAGGAGGGAAGAAAGGGCCAGCAACCACGCAAGCCTGGGGCAGAGCTGGGGTGGGGGAGGTGGCTGGGGAGGAGGGAGGCTGAGTTTTACTCTAAATGCAATGAGATGCAGTGAAGGGCTTTAAGCAGAAAAGAAATCATTCAATTTACATTTTGAAACATCATTTGGTAGCAGTACGGGAAGGGACTTTAGGGGAACAGGACAGCAGGTGGGCAGTTTTCCCGGGTTGTGCTAGAATAATGCCATCGTAGACTCTGGGACGGTGGCAGTGGAGATGGGAGAAGTGGCCAGACTCAAGACACGGCAGGAAAGTAATGGCCTACTAATTAATTCGAGACTGTTGTGGAGGGAGCAGGCAGTAAACACACACAGCCTCCGAGACTCCAGGTTGAGCCTCAGGTGTGGCGTGGAGGTGTACCCTGAGATGGCAGACAGGGAAGAAATCCATTCTGGGGCCACAATCAAGGGTTCCACTGTGGCCATGCTGAAGATCCCCGTACGATCTCTCTGGATGGAGCTATCCCACGGGCAGCAGTGTACACAAGACTGAGACGTGTCCTGCTACAGACAGAAGAACTGACAGCGGACCGTGAACAGACGGGGCAGCTTGGAATGGGAATCTAAAGACAGAGGGGGCCATGACTGAGCATGGAGGAACTCTCCACTCTGCTGGCAGATGAAGGAGAAAAAGCCAGCAAAGAAGACTGAGAAAGAACCAAGGGTGGGAATGAAGCCAGGAAAGCAATGGTGGCATGGAGGACCTTAAAAGAAGGGCATGGGTTATTGTCACTTCTGCTGAGAGGATCCAGAGGATTGGTAGGGAGGGGGGAAGTGGCCTTTGAAATGGGCAGCGAAGCCCGATTCAAGCCCTGAGGGACTGGAAGAAACTATTACCACCGGTTTCCCTGGGACTTCCCCCAAAGATTTAAAGCAGAATAATAAACATATATATATATATATATATATATATATATATATATATTCTTTTACTGGACAATATGCTTACAAAAGGAAATACCATTAGCTATGTTTTTATTGTGCGTATGTATCAGCTTTATGTGAATATTCTTCATGTCGTTTTTCTATATGAACTTATCTAGAGGGCAGCAAGAGTTTCTTCTGTATATTACATTATGCTCTAACTAGTCTTACAAATAGAATCATTTTTTACAATATAAAAGGTCTTGAATTTTTCCATAAGGCAAAAAATGCTTTTAAAAAATCATTAATTTCTCATTGTTTCAGATCTGAGTTTTCAAGATTTTCTTTTCTTTTTTTTTTTTTTTAAGATTTATTTATTGGACAGAGAGAGATCATAAGCAGGCAGAGAGGCAGGCAGAGAGTGGGGGGAAGCAGGCTCCCTGCCAAGCAGAAAGCCCGATGTGGGACTCGATCACAGGACCCTGAGATCATGACCTGAGACGAAAGCAGAGGCTTTAACCCACTGAGCTACCCAGGAGCCCCTCAAGATTTGCTTTTCTATAGGGTTTCTTTTTCATGGATATGTGCTAAATATTCATAAGCTGCTTTATGTTCAGTATTCTTAATATGTCCATAGTAACAGGAAAATAAATTCCCAGAACAACAACAAAAATCTTTGTTACTAAAAGAAGCATCAAGATCTTGGAAAAGTTACTGCGCCATTCTGAGCTTCATCTGTAAAATAGGGATTAAAACCTACCTGTGTGCTAGGGTAACCGGGGACTCGAGGGGCCAGGGTCACTCAGTAATTGTTTGGCAAATAAACATTTGGTGAATGTGTTTACCTATTATCATTTGCATCAACAACCACACATATTTATGGAAACCCTACAATCTGATGTCAGATACCATGTTCTGAGCACGGCAAGCAGAGGGGCCTGCTGGTTCGGCACCCTAGAAAGATTTCCCATGATAACAAATGTTTTCTTTTTCATGAGGTCACTGAATGCAAGGAGGGAAAACCCCAAAGATGCCCACATCTCCACAGAACATTAAAGCTGGTAGTTCGTCCATCCCCTACCATCCTAGTACCTGGCAGGCTGAAAAAGTTCAAAGAGTCTCAGGAGGGACACCTGCAGATAAACCAAGAGCCAGTGTGGGAAGGTCTAAGTAAGGATTTCAAGTGGGATCTGGGCCCTTAGTTGAGGATCAAAACTAACTGCCCTGCCAGCTGTCATGGAGGCTCTTGGTTCCAGCCCCCATTTGACTTCTCCAGAAACTGACACTATCTGAAACCTTTAGTTGTTTGTTTTCTTGTTTACTACCTCCTCCCACTGAATGTAAACTCTTGAAACTCTTGGAAGTAGGAGTCTCCAGGCTTTGTCCACCGCAGCCCTATAGTGCCTATACATGCCTCCAAGGCCTTAGATGCTAGTCAGCCGACTGAGGGAATTTATAAAATTTTAAAGACTAGGGATGACATCTAAGATCAAGTTAAAAGACAGGTGTTAACAACTCACAAGAAAAATTAAATAACACATATGTGCTATGTATTTCTTCTAAAAATTGCTCTTTCTGAATCACTTTTAAATGTGATTTTATTAATATTGTATTATTTAGCTATTGGATTATTATACCTCACATGTTTTAAAAGAAAAAGTAATAATAATATGCTTCTTATAAGTTTGGGTTAATAAATGAAGAAATTTAGCCTAAGTTTCAAGATTAATGTAACCTAAGCTAATAGGTTAGGTTTTAGGTGGATAATGGGCTGCGTGAAGAGAAAACTACAAAGTCAAGGCAACAATGCATATCAGAGACCTACATGAAAATCTGGTATCTATTTTACAGAATAGTACATTAATAACTATTTAAAGGATATCTGAGTTTTGGTAATGTTTTCAAACTCTCCTACACATATTGTATTATAAAGTAGACCCATTTTTAAGAATCTATTAAACTTCATTTGGAATATACACTGATTTTAAAATAAAGCATTATAGCATAAGGAAACAATTCTTTTAAAAAATGATAAATAGGGGCTTCTTTAAAAGCTGATATATATTTGTACTTAGTCCATAGAAACTCATGAAATACATACTAAACACCAATAAACAAATTTTAAGTCTTAGAAGGTTACAAAACTCATCATTCTTGACTTTAATGTGTGTCTTCATGCATAATATCATTTATAATACAAAGTTTGTTTTGTTGATTGGATTTTAAATACTTACAGCTTGAGCTTCCTCATTATCAAATGTAAGCAGCTCTAGAACAGAATCTCCTTCCAATGGACGGTCCAAGTCCCACAGTTCACCATTTACTTTGGCTACAACTGTGCTTTCAGCCAGTTCTGGACTAGTAAGAGAAAAGTCACTTGGGAGTTAACCTTATCACATTCTACAATGATTCATTAAAACAAAAGATTAGAATAATTTCCAGGGTGTTTTTCTTAAGTGAATAGAAAGTACAAATGTAAACTAACAGAATAGATTTTTTATTTCATAACATTTATTTTAAATACAAAAGTGGTACACATCCACCGTAAAAAAACAACAACAACAAAAACAATACTTGGAAAAAAGAAAACACAAAGAACAAAATAAAAATCATATCTGAATTTACCAACCTGAAATAACTATTCCTAACATTTTAGTATATGTCTTTCTAGTTTTTTTCTATATCTACCCATCCTTTTCTCCCTCTCTCTCTCTCTCTCTCTCTCTCTCACGCACACACACACACACCCCACACACATTTATTTTTTGAAAATTATTGACAAAAACAACACATTAAGAACCGGGAAAGCACAGAAAAGCAAAGAAGAAGGAAAAAAAAAAACCCTCAATCCCAGCACCCAGAAATTGCTGTTAACATTTCATTGTATGTCCTATCACAATTTTTGATAAATATATATATCAATATAAAAACCTAGTAATAGTACCATTCTGGATATGTTATTTGGTAACGCACTTCTTAAACTCAGTAAAGTCACACATTTTCCCTGACAACAGACATACCTGAGAAACACACTAGTAAGACTTACTGAATCCTCCGTGGCTGGGCATTTTGGGTATTTCTTTGTGGGGGGTTTTGCTTTGTTTTGTTTGGGGATAAATAATACTGCAGTGAACATTCTTGAACACACATCTTAGTTCCCAGTCATTTCCTCAAGAAAAATACCTGAAGTAAGACTGCTGGGTCAGGGAGATGTGCTTTAATGACCTTTGTTGGAATAGTCTGACAAATTTTCCAACTGGGGGAAGGTGCAAGGATACCTTTTCTCTGTCCCCTCATAATGTCAGGTACTATGAGACCGTGTCCTCTTTCCAGTATGATGTTTGAACTTGCATTTCTGTAAGGTGAGCAGCGGTACAGAGCTGTGGTTTAAGAGCACCTGCTCCGGTGTCAGACCAACCAGGGTTTGAACACTGAACAATGTACTCTCAGCCTCAGCTTTCTCATCTGTAAAATGGGGTTTAGAGGAGCTTCCTCATCCATTTATCCTAAGGATGAAATAAGGCCATATTCACAATAAGAACTTCTTACTAAATGCTAGCTACTGTTATTAATGTAGTAGAATTTTATTTTCATTTTTAATGACTGTGTAGACTGCTAAGGGTTCTTCAAATCCTTTCTCTCCTTCCTGGGCAGGAGTTTGCAGTCTTCCTTGCAGCCAGATGTGGTCACATGACTAGGTCTGGAAGTAATGGATGCAAGCAGAAGTGGCCTGTAGCACTTCCGCATCTTAGCCTTAAGACCTCGGAGAGCCCCTCTCCATCCCCTCCCTTCCCTAAGCACACCATAGCGCATGCGCAGTGTTCCCCAGGACCATGCAGACAGGGCGACATGGAATGTACATACTGATGATTCAACCAAACGGAGGGAATTCAGGTTTCCAGATGACTTATGGAGAGGAGTGCTGCCCTGCCAAGGTGACACCCCGCACCTCCAGACTGCTACTGGAGAAAGGCTTTGATCCTGTTTACGCCACTGAATTTTTTGTGGCCTCTGTCGCAGTGACTTCGCCTGATCTTAACTAATACAGAAGACTGAGGACCCGGAGGTGAACACCAAAACACGTGGCACTGGCTTAGCAAATGGGCAGTGAGATGTGGAAAGCCAACGCCCCTTGCCGTGGCATCATTTGGTATTCGATATTTGGTAAGTATCAAATATTGATAGATATTTGATTCAATAGTTGAGAACGTATTTGGTAAAGCCTGAAAGCAAACTAAGGGGCTCACAAGCCTACAGCACAAAAGGAAGCAGGCATAGAAAGGCAGAATGTTGGTAAACGCTGGACAGCTACTGCAGCTTTTGCAAAATACCACCCCACCAAGCTCAGCCCAGGTGAGAAATACCCAGTTTGCAGGCGGAGAAGGAAGGGACGGGACTTTGCCAAGAGAGGCTCTGCCTATGGCCTGTAATCCAAACTGACTAAGAGTCCAGAAATGTGAGGCTGTGCCAGACTGGAGAAACAGTCTTTCGTCCCAAATGGCAGGAGGGACATTCTCGAAGGCCACACGTCAAGACTGACAATAGGGGCGAGGCCCACTGCAGGGATCAGAGTAAGGGTGCTGCCCTCCCACAGCCTGTGGTTTTCATGGGACCTCAGGCCATTTAACTGAGGGACAGAGGAATGAGCCAAGCCAAAACCCAGGAAAAAAAGGGGGAGGTGAGAAGTCTCTGTGTAGAAGAATGCCTTAAGCAAGAGGACTTCACGTGGAGCTGAGTTAGAAGCAAACAGCCCAGAAGCCTACTATGCTGGAAAGATCGGGACTGCCAAAGGACAAGCCCAGCTTACAAACACCTGTGACTGTGCAATCCTTTAAAGGAGCTCTGAGCCCCCAAGTGTGCACCAGCAGGAACTGGGTACAGCCTCAGGGGCAAACTGTCCTGTACATCTGAAGTACCTGAAGTACCAGGGCCTCTGGGGGACTGTGGACCAGAAAACAGAGGGCGGCCAGACGGGCTGACCCAAGCACTGCGGGCCTTCCCCATCACTGCCAGCAGGATCTGACGGCTTCTCTACACTACCTGATCCCCCAGTGCTCCTTCCTCTTTCCTCCAAATACACTTCAATCATGGTGGCTTCCTGTGTATTCCACCACTGTACATACATGTGGGGTGGGCAGCCCTGTCTGCCAGCTTATCTGTTGCTAGAGCATAAGGGACCAGCCTCACGGGGTGCTCTGCACATCACTTGGAAATCCCACGCTTTCAGCTGATGGGACCTAAAGCTGTCTCACCTGGGGAGGGACTGAGTGTGCTGGATGATGAAAAAGGGATCTCATGGATTCCTGGATGCCACAGGGGCACATTGTGGCAGACATTGTCCCCTAAGCCAGAATTTCCCTCTTCCATGGGGAGAATGCTTTAGCTGGATATGTGGCCGTCGAGCAGGGGCGACATTTCCCTTTCTCTCTTACTGCTAGGGTGGCCAGGTGACTAAAGGTGAGCTAATAGGATGTAAGAGAAAATCAAAGTGTGTCGCTGTGGGGTCTGGCCCTCAAAGCATCATTGGTCCTCAGCTGTCTTCCCCCTGCCTGCAAGTGAGTCCCTGAGTCCATGAACTCAGTTTCCGGACAAGCTGGAAGAGGATGGAAGATCAACAAGACAGAAGGAACCCAGGTCCATAAATGACTGCATGGACCAGAGATGTCCACCAGCCTGCACTGGTCATCTCTGGACTGTCATATGAGAGCATGTGATGTCTGCCTTTTCAAGCAATGGTCTTTGGGTGGGGGTCTCTTGAAACAGCAGTTTAGCCTAACTCAATGGTTCTCAAACTTGGACTTGCTTCAGAAACTCATGGAGGGGCTCACAAACACAGAGACTAACTAATTCAAGAGGCGTGGAGCAGGGCCCAAGAATTTGCTCATCTGAGTTCCCAGGTAGTGTTCATGCTATTGGTTTGAGGACCACATTCTGTGAACAATTCTTTCATGAACTACTATGAAATGTCCTTTGCCCCTTTTTTCTACAGGGGTATATTCTTTCCTTCTTTTTTTTTTTTTTTTAAGATCTTATTTATTTGAAAGAGACGGAGCACACACACAAGCAGGGGGAAGCAGGAGAGGGAGAAGCAGGCTCCCCACTGAGCAGGGAGCCCTACACAGGGCTCAAACCCAGGACCCTGGGATCATGACCTGAGCCAAAGGTAGACACTTAAATGGACTGAGCCACCCAGGCAGCCCTCTACAAGGGTATTTCCTTAAGATAAATGGCTATGTATAGAATTACTAGGTCCAAGAGTTAGGGTCTGTATGTTTTTACGGCTTTAAAAGTTTGAAAGAGACTGGACCTACTTATCTACCCTCCAGCAGTGCCATTTCCCCAAGACTGTATCAATATTAACTGCTATTCATAAACCTTAGACAAATCGAGAACACATAATAATTTTTGTTTACACTTCTAAGATAATCTGTTCCTCTGGTGAAGCTTTCATCTTTTTCCTATTAATTTGAAACACACTTAGAGAGCAATCATTTGGTTTATAGGGTACATTTTTTTCACATCTGTCACTTCCCATTTTATGTGTCATTTTTACACATAGCCATTTTTCTTCCGTGTTTTGTTTTGTGTGCCATTTGAATTTGTCCTTCTTTTTCCTTAATGATTTCCACATTACCTGTTATGCGCAGACTCCCCCAGAGAAGGAATAATCATCTATGCAATCAACTCTCAGCTACCCAAGGAAAGAGGCAGTATAATTTAATAAAGCTATTAATTTCTCATTTATTTTATATCCAGCCACCTCACTGAATCCTTACTTATTCAGATAGTTTTCCATTTAATACTTTTCTCTAATTTACTCTTTTTTTTTTTAAGTAGGAGCCCAACACAGAACCCCATTCACAACCCTGAGATCACCACCTGATCTGAGATCAAGAGCCCAACGAATTGTGTCAACTAGATGCCCCTCTCTAATTCATTTTAGAGCTCCGCTCTTTTTTCTAACTGCCTGAGTTGAATTCTTAGTCTGCTTCCTTTTCCTCTTTCTTATTAGAAAAGCCTTCGACACTACAAATCTGCTTCTGATCACTACCCCAGCTCTATTCCACAGATTTCTGATATATATTCTCATGAAAGTATTTTCTTAAAATTCTGTGGTTTTTATTTCCTTTTACCTGAGTTATTTTGAAGAGGGTTTTTTTTTTTAATTTCAAGTTTTATTTTGTTTTGTCTTGCTATCATTTAATGTTTACTGAGTTCCTAATGGATTTCATTTTACCTACAGAATAGGGGAACTGTGTATTGCCACATATAATTCAGGTTCTGAGGAGCCAAAAACAAGACCACAGGTGCCAAGAGATCTCTGTCTGTAGACCAGAGACTGGTGAGCAGCGAATAAGTTCACCACACAGTGGTGGTAAAACCTAACTGATGTTTACCCATGTGATCTGTCCAGAACCTGTCCAAGGACGGGTTAAAGCCTACAACACCTGAGTGTCTATAATTTTGTATTTCTGATCTGATGCTACATTATTTAACTCATAAAGGTCCATGACAAATAGTCATTGTGGATTACACTGTTTGGCTCTTTTTGCAGTAAGCCTCCATATCCCATCGGATGATTTTGGTCCTGAATTCTGGTGTCTCATAGTAATATCATGATCGCTGCTTTCTTCTTACCAGGTTTGCCTGATATACCAGCTCATCTTTTGGTTTTGGCTAACTTTACTTTTTAGACACTCCTGTAATCCCTCTCTCATGAAACTTGACTGTGGGGTTTGTAAGCTGGTACCCTGTGGAAATGCAGATAATTAAGGGCACAATGAAGTACCCATCCTATAATCAAATAACTTTGTTTCCCAAGTTCAAACAGGTTTCTTTCGTGCAGAACTCCTCAGTCTCTAATATGCCAACATGCAAACTGACTCGCCATGAAGAAGCATAAACTTATTTTTGCTTCAAACCCCATTTTTCCCCAGCACATCTATTTATCTCTCCTGGAAAACAGGGGAACAGGTTGGGAGAGGCCGTTAGAGTGCAAGATATGATGGAATGGAAAATATATACATATATGTATATATATATACATATATGTATATATATATA